CACTCCAAATCTTCGGATGCACAATCGAATCGATCATCTGCTGACACGGAGAGTATTGTGACACTACTATAACTAACTAAACGAGAAATAATTTTTCTATACTTGTGTTAAATAAAGTGTATTTGGAAAACAAAAGAAAAGCAGGAATTAAGACAATATTGACCAACCAAGACTAGAGAAGAGGAACAAAAGAACTTCCGTTCGTACTGAGTTATGGCTCAGAATTGTTAAACAGTAGAAATTCAAGTAATCAAAGGTGACTCGGTTATCTATGATTTTCTCGAAGAATTTGGTATTTCAGATATTAGAATGGCACGCCATTTGTCAGATGACCAATCAAATAGCACGATGGTCTTTACCTCCTACATTCATCTTAGTATCCTTCAAAAAATATTCACCGTTGGTCAAACATCTTGGAGATTGTTGTAGTTAGAACAGGAGATCCATACATGTTTCATAGCATTGAAGTTATTTGTTATGATGAAATTGAATATCGATCGATGTTTACGAAATATCAAGGTGAACAAAAAATTTTACAACATAATGTTGATGAGTAGTTAAAAATCGCCACAGGACGATTTGCCGATATTTCATTGGAAACAAGTGTTGTCAACACTGGTTATTATATTATTGATGGTGAAGAACGTTTGTGAGAAGAATGGAAACTGACCTGTATAATCTAATGATGATTTAGAGAAACTACGAATTAAAAACTGTTCGAACACCAATAAAGTATTATAAAATAGAAAATTTTTGTATTCGAAGATTGTTAGTGTCAACCACATAAAAATTATCACTTTTGTCAATAGCAATTCCTTTAGGTGCATTTAATCCTATAGAGCCTGAACCTGCCGAACCATTTGCATTACCTGCAACAGTTATACCTGAAGTCCAACCGGGCCTCCACCTTTGAACTCGATTGTTGTTTGAATCACAGACGAGCACATTTCCCTGACTGTCGACCACAACAGCTAGAGGCCCATTTAATTGACTTGCATTTGTACCTGATCCATAGCCGCCGGCTACTGTATCTCCGGACATTGCTCCACGAAGCCATCTTTGTACTCGATTATTCGTTGAATCGACAACATAAAATGTATAGTTCTTGTCAATAAAAAAGCGCTTCGGTGAACTTAATTGATTGGCATTAGCGCCTGCCCCATTTCCACCAACAGCACTGTGATTAGTGAACCAATTATATATACGATTGCCTCCTGTATCTGTAATAAAAATAGTTCCATTCGGATCCAAGTAGATACCCGACACAGTTGGTGAAGTATTCAATAAAAAGCTCGTCACATTGCGACCCATTGTTGATCCATTCGGAAAGCGTACCACTCGATGGTTTGATTCATCTGCTACGTATATATCACCTGTATTACTATCCACGTATAAACTAGGCGGAGCATTGAGTTGTCCACTAGCAGTTTTAAAAATAGCTGCAGTCGCTAAGCCATTAGGATTCGGAGGCCATTTAGAAACTCGACTGTTGCCCTTCTCTGCGATATATATATTATATTGATCATCGACAAAGACGCCATAAGGATTGAGGACGCTGGTGCTTCCGTTACCGCTTGCGACAGTGATACCAGTTGAATTCCATCGTGAGTAAATCGATGCTTGCGCAGAAGTGACCATTGAGCTAGCCATTGTTGTCAACGTCGTGCTACCCAAAGTGGCATTTGGTTGATTGACAAAACAAAATTGACTTTGGAAACTTAGCAGGAAAACAAACTCAGTAGAAAAATTTCCAAACAGTTCACATGTTTGGTTTTGCACAAAGTAATTGAAACCAGAGAAATTGGATTGCAATTAATAGCATGCACATTCATCGAAGGCTTGATTAAACTCGATTATTTTCCTATCTAGCGACACGAATGTCACATTCGATATGCATCCCATTTGTTCGCACGATATTTGACAGAATATAGCTAGTGTTAAGAGACAAATCGATAGCATCTTTCACATTTGACGCTTCTTTCAAGAATAAAGCATATATTCTTTGTCTATGTTCACATTCGGGCTTTTTTATTCTACTTAGTTTGCTCAAACAAGAATATAGCATGCAATCGTAATTGAGTTTCCAACGATTGCAAAGTTCAATGTTTGTTTGTCGGTTACGAGCGTCAACGACGTCACAAGAAAAGAAAGGATGAAAGAAGAATAATAGGACACCGAATAAAAATCAACTATCATTCCATCGAAACTAATAGTAAGAGTTCAATATTCTTTCCAGATAAAATTACAAATTTCTTACTCAAGGAAGTATAATTCAATGCACGCTTGAGAAAGTTTTAGATAGTTCTATCACATACAACGTTTCTCGTGTGGTTCCAAAATTAAACTATTTATTTTAAACCAGAAATACGAAATGATACGTTTAAATACAGTGTGCACTTCACGATCTATCAAAATTCTATTTTTATGCTAGTTCCTCTGGACCGCACACTTCCAATAGAAAAAGCGATCATCAATTAACCCTTTGACTTCCTCAGTATAAAAAAACCTACACCTGTTTTTTCCATATTTTTTCTGATATAATTCATAAAAATTAGCACGTGATCTGTTGAAAAGGAGTAATAAGCAGTGTTCTGGGACCCTTTCTGAGTATCCTTTTTGTTCTTGTCTTGTTATAGATATTATAACTCAGGTATATAAGACAGCATTTACGACCTTAAAGTAAGCGACAGTCAAGAAGTAGTCGGATCAACTGATACTATCTATTACTTTTAAATAAACTTCAACAGTTAAACTTTCCATTAAGTATAACAAAGTTCAATGTAATTTACATTGAGTAAATCATCTACGAAAGATATCTGACGTACGTTATTACGTATAGAATAAGCTAATTCAATTATTTACTTGAACTCAGTTCAGTAACAAATAATTCGGTAGTCAAAGGGTTAATTTCTTGAAATATTATTATTCTCAAAATATATTATTCGAAAACCAATTAGACTTTTTAGTATTTTGTCAAGAATGATGCTGACGTGGCACTGATTATATTTTTTTTTCTATATACTAACATATTTTCACGATGATGTGATTACATATACAATGGAATTTAATAAAAAAATTTCATATAAAGATAAAAACGAACTTTTTGAATATATCTGTTGTGAAGTAGTATGCAATGATGACCTTCGTTAATGAATTGTAGAGTATAAGAAGAAGTATCGATAGTATATTTTTTAACGAATTTAATCCTCTATTCAAAGAGAACTATAAGATTTGAACTCATATTTAATCAAAAATATTTTTTGTGATATACGTGACAATATGTCTGATTGTTCCGAATGAAGAAAGATTAATAAAACGTGTTGGTATTTAATATGCGCAATTCGAGTCTTTTTAGTACTATAAAAAGAGGCTTTTTTCTCATTGAATATCACAATTTTCAACTTATTACAATCAAATCTTCTGATCATACAAGCAGCTTTCAATGAATCAACTCATTATGGATATCTATTTCGTACTTGCAAAACAAAATGGTAACAAGTTTTCCACTTGGAGAAAGTGTAATTAATCATTATAAGTTCTCAATCTTTGTCAGAAAAGTCTTTGATAATGTAACATTGATAATATTGGATATATATGCATCAAACACAATTCCAAACTAAAAATTCATTTTGAATTTGACAACAATTATAGTTGTTCCTGGTCATATTGAGACTTATAGTGCATGTATCAATCTTTCAAGTCGATTTTAATCTATCATATTCAAAGTGATAATAAAATGTGACTGCATTAAATTCTTAATTTCAGTTTGATGAATATTTATCATCTGAACGACTTGAGATATTAAATATATATGGATATCAGTAAAAAGATTGAAAATAATGATTTAATATAATTAAACGATATGGATATAATATTAATTATTTTGAAATCATGATTTATAAGTCAAAATATTAATGGGAATCAAAAAATAATATTAATTATTGGTGCAATCGTTCATGTTGTGCATATATATTTTCAAACAGTAGACTATTGCTGATCTATTTTGATCCAGAACAAAATGAAATCATTAAATATTGATTATAATCAATGAAAATTTTAATGTTACTAATAAATAATGGCTATTATGATAACATCATCTTTTTATCATCTGTTTTCTAGTCATAACTTAATCCTTTTTTTATTATCATTTCTAATTAATCCATTAATAAATAAATTGATGTTCATACTTCTAAATGAAACAGAAAAGATCTCTTTTATTATAATCATATTGTTTAAACTTACCTATAGATAATTTAATCTAAAAATGATGACCACTATATATATATAGATATATGTATGCATTGCTATACGACCTAAAAGAGAAATGAAAATAAATAAGAAAAAAGCAACACAATTTATAGTAGCTTGTAGTCTCTCTTTCTACCCACGCTATGGTCTTCCATGAAAAAGAAAAAAACATCACGTAGTCAGGACATTCAGAAGATTCTTTCTGGAAACTACCAGATTCATATCTATTTTAAGATAAATCCATCTCTGGTCGATTTATATTGTTGTATGAAGTCACGTCCAAGTTAAACTTTGATCTGATACTAAAAAAGAATATACTCAATGATATTTCTATTTAAAAAACAGCATTCCATGGACTTTGATCATACAAAATGGTGGCCAATGGTATTTTTCCCATAAGAAATACGCAATTTCTCTTAGAATTCAGTCACGTTTCTATTCTTTGCTCTATCTGCTTCTCTCTCTCTCTCTCTCTCTCTCTCTCTCTTTGACGTATAAAAGGCACCACTTTTCTTCATTGTCTTTATCATTTAATAAACCTTCACTATCAAGTAAGCTTCTCTTGGACACTTTCATTATTATATTATTATTATTCTTTAGATTCATTCTATACACACAATACTTCTATTATATCATGGCTTTCAATAACAAAAGCAATGATTTATCAAACAACTGCTGGTATATGGATGTACAAAATCAAAAGCAAGTGTATCCAATCGAGCCAAAATCGCAACCAGAACAACAACAATCACATCCAATAAAAAGAAAAAGATGTCATGCTAATAGAAAGTTACAACGCTATCGTCGAAAACTTCGAAATCAAGGTATAGATTTATCAGTTCATAGTAAACTATCATCTACAAATGAAAACAGCCAACATCATAAGCAAACAATAATTAATTCAACTATTATTGAAGCAACTTGTCCTCCAGTCAAATCAATTCAACAGAAAATAACCAAAAAGAAGAAATGTAACCAGAATAATAGTCAATTGGATCCAGTTGAATTTATGGGAAATGATTTAGTTGATTATAATGCTATATCTGATGAAATGTTATATCAAAGAACATTAACAGCTTTTAATCGATCAGATAAATTCAACTCTTATTTTATTGGTGATAAAAAGATACACTTTATTCGTCGATATATTCATTTAATCGCTCAAGTTTGTTTTTAACAACTAAAACAAAGTCAATGGAAATATTATCATCATATTGGCATGACACAGAATATTTGGCATGGTCGAATGTCTAAACCTTCAGCTATGAAGTATTCAATCTGTCATACTTATGATAGATCCAAATCTGTTATTGAACAACGACTTAAATTGATTGAAAAACATTTAAAACAAGCACAAAATGCAATTGAAAAGTTTGAACAAGAGATCATAACTGAATGCCAACAGGATAATGATTGTTTAAATGCAATGAAAGAATTAAATTCAATTATATATCAATTAGTACATGAAAAGCAACAGGTTTTAGAGTGTAACTTTGAATATCAAAGAAAAATGTTAATTTTCAATGCAGCTGATCATCAATTACTTCAAAATTTCTTTGATATCCGTCCAAACAACAAGCATGTACATATCTATATTCTATTATATATTAAATAACTCCATTCTTCTGTCTTTTTATTTTATCCTCATTACAGATAATCTTAGCAAGACACATATGGCAAGCAACAAAGAATCAACTGACAATTGAAGAAGATCTAGCGTTGTTAAAATATCGTCAAACATCAACAGCATTACAATCAACATCTAATTCAGTTCATGAAATAATTAATAATATTGATCAAGATATACAAAAATTGAATGAAACTATATCTATATTTCCAACAAGTCATTCATTATCAAATGAAATCGACAAACTAATACAATTGAAGAATAAAATTATTCATCAGGCGATTGTTCACAATGAAAAGAAACTGGAACATCTCAGCACAATTATACAAGCAGAACAGTATAGGTTTTCAGTGAAGAACAGATTTATGGAAAAAAACCCACAATGGCATGAACAGGTGTTTGATGCTATCGAAACTCGTCGAAAACATATGATTCAACGTGCAAAATGTATTCAAAACCATAATCTAGTTAAAATAACGCAAGACAAGTGATACTCTTCAATCAACCATCTATCCCAGTACAATATTCAAAGCACAAGATATAGACTATTATTTCAAATACTTCTAATTTTCATCTCTATTCCATGATATCATTCAACACCAAATAATTATGCTATATTATTCTATAGATCAGCAGCTCTTTTCCCTATTAAAAGAATATTAATAAACAAAATCATTAAAAAATTATCATTTCTTTTCATTTCAGATGTTCTAACATTATACTTCATCTACACAAAACAAAATGTACATCCAATATTGTATTACCATACAACTGAATCATATCTTCATTGGCGAAGACAAAAAGTAACATAACACGAAGCTGAACACAAACTACGTATATAATACAACTTATTTTACTGTACATTTAGATGTTGTTAAAATTTGATCAATTTTAACTTAATATTGATACTGATTGAATTTATTTAGTCTTTAAAATATGATACCATTTGAGAAGAACCTTAAACAGTTCGAAACGCGTCATGGCTATTCTAACTCACCCTGATTATCTTATTCATGTAAACGTAAAACAACTTATAATTGATCATCTATTCGAATATTTTGATAATATCGTACTTGAAATGTACTAACAACAAAGAAAGCATCTTCAGTACCTGATTTTCTTTAAACCAGTTTGAAGTAAATATGCAAATCGATCAAAATCACAATGACGAATAGACAGTTATATTTTTTAAATTAGTTCATGATTTTCATTAACAATGATGTGTCTTTAATTGTTTTTATAGTTATTAAATATCATAAAATTATCAATAAGAAGATAAAGTATATTCAGTAATTAGAAAAATATCTGAATCAGGGTGAGGGTGCGGAGTAGCGGCAAAGTGAGGATGTGGAAATAATTAAATAACTGAACTGAATAGCTGAATTCAACTTTTGAGTTTGACACTGTTGATACACGGCTGCATATTCTTATATTTTATTCATCATTACTTTCGTTAACCCTACACCTGTTTACCTGTTTTTGCCCTTAAAAAGAAATTTCTAAACATAGTTTTCAGTTTACTAGTTTATATGCACATATTAGAATTTATTTATTTTGTCAAAAATAAAATTTACGAAACAAATATAAAATGATTTATTAATTAAGAGCATGTTTGAAAGTGTTAGAAAATGCTTTTTCAATGAGAAGAAAATTGATCACAAGCAAAGACAAATAAAACTTTTATATACATAAATTGTTTTGAGAAAAAAAATGAAAAATAATATTTAAGTTAATAAATTAATCTCCATATGTATATATTTCAACGCTAGAAAAAATATTAACACCATCACCTCCACCAGTAACTATTACTCTTCCATCTTCTAAAACAGTTGACGTATGTAGATTTCGTGCTACACTCATACTTTGTTTCATTGTCCAAGTATTTGTTATTGGATCATATAATTCAGCGGTATTAAGGAAAGTACCATTCTCATTAGTTGCACCAGTAATCAGTACTTTTCCATTTTTCAATACAGATCCTCTAGGTATATATCTTGCCATAGTCATATTACTTACCATTGTCCAAATACCTGTTGTTGGATCATATATTTCAGCAGTTTTAAGAGCAGCAGCAAGACTATTTTGTCCACCAACAACTAATACTTTTCCATCCATTAACAGATGTGCCGAAGGCTGATTTCGTGCATTATTCATGGTAGCAGTCGCTGTCCAAGTTCCTGTTATTGGATCATATAATTCAGCAGTATTAAGAAAAGTAGTGGCACTACTTAACCCACCAGCAATTAAAACTTTTCCATTTGTTAATAACACTGCTATATGTCCTATTCGTAAACCAGTCATATTTCCTGTAAAGGTCCAAGTACCGGTTGTTGAATTATACAGTTCAGCAGTATTAGTAAAGCTGCTATAGCGTCCACCAGCAACTAAAACATTGCCATCTGCCAATTTAGTTGTTGTATGAAAAGCTCGCGAAAGTGCCATTGTTCCTGTTAAACTCCAAGAATTTGATATTAAATTAAGTAACTCAGTGCTGGCAAGATAAGACCCCACACTATTAAGTCCGCCAACAGTCAATATATTTCCATTATTTAACAGGACTATTGTATGATAACGTCGTTTTTCAGCCGTAATTCCTGTATCCTTCCATGTTTTATTTACGGGATCATATATTTCAGTAGACCTCAGAGTATCAGTTGCATGAAATCCACCACTAACTAATACTTTCCCATCTGTTAAGAGTAAGTCTGCATGAGCAGCTCGTTGAACTCGAAGACCGGTTGCGAGTGCCCATCCTTAATGAAGTATAAAAATAAGCAAATTATTTTTCATGTCGAAATTACAAAATAACATTAAATAAACCGAGTGTTCATCATGAAATTTATTCGGATAATCGTTAGTATAACATCTATTAAGCGAAAAGGATAGTTTCTAATGCAGAATCTCATGTCAGAGATGGTTGAATAGTTTTCTAATCTTTTTTTGATACTATTAGTATTTTCTATAATAAATTACAAGTAACGCGGCCTAGTAGCCGCTAAACCCTCTACTGAAAGGATAGTATTAGTATTAGAGCGCTACTATTCGTTCAAAGAGAGAAAAAAGTTATTTCAGTTGAACGATCTGATCGTTTGATAATTTGTCAGAATGTTTTACATAGACCAATTTCTCTTCCTGAAATCTTCTGAAATTATAGCGCCTAGTCGCTTGTCAGCCTCTCTCCTGTTCACCACTCACCGCTAGCAGTCGGTACCTAGTAAGTGTTTAGTGATATTTTCATATTAGAAAGTACCTCGTTCTTGTTGAGTCCGTCTCAAGCAAAGTTGCCGAAATTCTTCACAACTTCGTGACCTACAGTATATCTTTTATCATCATTTTTAGTTGAATGAGTTGGTGATCTACATAGTTTTTTCTCGAAGTTCGAAAAGATGCCATATATATCTACCTTAGAAAAATTATGGACACTATGCGACAGTCTTATAAATCTCACTTTTCAACCAATTTTCAAAAGAAACAACTAGTCGTTCGTCGGCCTCCCTCCGGTCGGCCACTCACGGCTAGCTGTTCCGATGCGTACTCATTTTACTATCTTAACTTCATTCGGACGAAGACGCGTTCCGAAAATGAGCACATTTCGGAAAATCAATTTATAATCAAAAACTTGTAAGCTTTAAATAGCTATATGATTCTCTGGAAAAGGTTTCAATTTTCTCTCCACCAAGAGGAATCTTAAATAGCTGCCACCTATGTTCGTGGAAAGCAACGATTAATTTCTAACCAAGAAGTCTGAAAGCTCTATAAAAATCACAAAGTTTGTTCTTAAAAATATTATTCTGGAAATCGACGACTAGTCGCTCGTCGGCCTCCCTCCGGTCGACCACTCGCGGCTAGCCGTTACATGTACATTTTCACTTTTCCATTTAGTCTAGAGTCACTTTTGAAACTAATTCATTCATTCTCCTCTATTCCCTGTTTAAAAGTCACTCTCTTTGTGCTACTGTGACTGTCGAAGACAACACCAGACAAGGGAAACAGTATTTTGAATGACTGGCATCAGATGATATTCGTATAGTATAGATGTATATAAAAGTGTGTGATCTCAGTAATATACTGATGACTATGGAGATCCAGCGATCGGACGTCAGTCAGCTATTACATTTTTTGTTCTACATATTGCCGCTTAAAACATTATTATCTAAAAATTGATCCTTTGTCGCAAAAAAGGCTTAGAAGGTGTTCATGAAAAAACTAACACCGTATTCGAGATCCTCAACCTCGATTACCATTCGGTCGACCATTACTCAGGAACAAAAAAAAATTCATTACTTAATTAGCTAATTAGCTAATTGGAATTTCGAAAAGCTAACCTCGGATTCGTGATCCTCGGCCTCGATTACCCTTCGGTCGACCCTTACTCAGGAACAAAAAAAAATTTCATTATTTAATTAGTAATTAGCTAATTAGCTAATTGGAATTTCGAGAAACTAACCTCGGATTCGAGATCCTCGACCCCGATTACCCTTCGGTCAACCCTTCTGAGTCAGAGATGTAGATTGCTTTTTCGTTAGTGTAAAGTACGTGAACGGACGAACGTACGGACAAACGTACGGACAAACGTACGGACGAACGTACGGACAAACGAACGAACTTTAGCTCAAATTCTTTGTATACCCTCCTTTCAGTAGAGGGAATTATGTTATATAACTGACCTGGAATTATTGTTGTGGTTGTTGTTGTCGTTGTTGTTGATGTGATGGTTGTTGTTGTCATTGTTGTTGATGTGGTGGTTGTTGTTATTGTCGTTGTTGTTGATGTGATGGTTGTGGGTATTGTAGATGTTGGTGTTATTGCTGTTGTTGTTGATGTGATAGTTGTGGGTATTGTAGATGTTGCCGTTGTAGTCGATGTTGTTCGATCAAATGATTGAAAAGTAACAACAAGATTTAAAGTAATATTGTTACTAAGTGATATTGTAAAAGCAACAGATGAACTAGTTCTTTGAATCGTATTAAGAATACCAGTTATATAGCGATCATGACATATTTTAACATGATTACATGAATGTGGATAGATTAATTCAACTTCAATTATCAATACGGTTTTCATTTGAATATTTGTATCATTAGTGATTGATGTGCTAAAAATACACATAAAGCATAAAATAAAATAATTATAAATAATTACCTTTGTCGTTTTCTTCGTTTCAAAATGAGACTTTGAATAAATCGAGCTGAAAATATTCGCACCATATTTCGAGAGATACTGTATGTTTTAGCAATCTATTAATTAAATAAATATATTTATAATGAAAATTTCTTTCAATAATTCATTACTTGATCAGCAAGTCCTGGTAGATTTGTAATTTCTAATGAATTATTACTTGAAATATTTGTATCATAATTTAGAGTCATCATAATCGAACCTACAAAAAACTTGTGAAAGTTTTCAAATTATGAATAGAATATTCATGTTTTTATACTTGTTTCATCAATAAAACCAATAGAAGTAACACTAGTCTGTTCATTTCGTGGTAAAAACATAAATATAAAGCCCAAAAAAACACCTAAGAGCCATAATATAAATGTACATAAAAAAATACGTTTAATAAATAATTGTCCTCTAACAGAAACAAAAATATAACATATAACAATAATAATAATAATGAATTCTTACCCTGGTGATATTTCTATTATGATTTGCATTTTCAATATCCTAATATATATATTAGCAAAGTAAAAAAGCGATATTACTGATATAAAAAAAAGTGTCGAAGTAATTTGAGTAGAAAAAATATGGTAGTGATTGGACGAATGTCTACGTAACTATATACTTGTAGTTTAAATAAATATGGTAGTGATTGGACGAATGTCTACGTAACTATATACTTGTAGTTTAAATAAATATACATGATTGTTTTATTTCTGTTCTATCTACCTTTCGATATAGATATAAAGAAACCTTCGATTTTTTTCGTTTTTGCTATATAATTAGTGACTCAATAATTGTATATGTATGAAAAAAAACACAATTTTATCAAGCAGATCGATGATATATTTTGTATTTTTCGTTAGATGAAAAATGAAAATAAATTGAAAATTTTTATTTAACACACTCGACCCGATTCGATTGTTTTGGAAATGTGCTTTCGAAGCGCTCATTTTTATGCAAGTTTATTTTAATAAATACACTTACGAGGGAAGTTCCCCAGGTGTTTAAGGCCTTTAGGTCCCATCTTTTGGCGACAAGTAGACCTCAATGAGGTATGAAAAACCCCATAGGGATTTGTGCCCTTGCGCCTTTATTGCCGAGATATCGAATTCTCAAGGTATATTCAAAAAAGGATCGAATTGAAAAATTATCGTTTTCAGAGAGTAGTACAGTATTGAAGTGAAAATATTCCAAAGCTTCGCGCATCGTTCGTGCAATCTATTCTGGATTTAGTGCTAGATCATATCTCATCAGTATCATCTCCATGGATTGTTCATCGGGTCATAGACGACCCATAACTCTTCATTTCACACTTGTTTTCGTTATATAGTAGAAAAGCACGCACAAGAGTGAATCAATGAAAATGATAGTTCAGAAAGAAGTGATTGAAACACAGTGGTTTGTCACACCGGCTGCAACAGATAAAAGGAGCTGCATCGCATGAAGGTGCAGCGCATATTGATGCATCGAAGGAAAAGCACACTTCGCTCACTGTTTTGAAGGACTCGAGATGTTTGTCGGTGTAACCGCTCGCATACCACGCGTACTGGATCATCGAACGAAATACCTTGGCAGATAGTTGGTTGTGAGTGAGAGACATGAGACAAATGATGTTATTCCGTTCGCTCATGTTGATGTCAAGTTCATCGAGTAGCACACGATCGTATAACCGACGAGGAATCACTTTCATCTGTCTGTTGAAAAAAACATCCAGTGGTTGAATTTGATCCGTCGTTTTTTTCGGTATCTCTAGCCTTGTGCATCCTGGTATATGATCATATAATCCCTTTCCATCTGTCTGTCCAGGCCAACAGTCCGAGATCAGTAGGAACTTTTGATGTTTTCCCAGTGACGGGAGGAGGACATGATCGCGCCAGTATTCGACCAAGGATGTTGTGAGCTTTCCAGAACTGCTGCAAGTGATCACCACATTCGATGCCTTGAAAAGACGTAAGCGAATATTGTCGCTCAGACGACCTGTGGGCTCCTTCAGACAGAGGTAAAGCGGCGAGAGGAGGTAGCCGTCAAGTGTGATTGTGGGCTGCGCTGTATAGCTGTGCGTGGTAGCATTCACAGAGCGAACAGATCCAGTTGTTACTTTCTCCCCTTGATGACTCAATGTTCGTGTAGAGTGAAATTCGAGCTGGATTCCGCTTTGATCGGTGTTTAGAACCGCGTGTTCTTGGTACTGAGGTAAGCGTCTGCGAACATCAGCTACGAACTGATCGGCCGAAGTTCTGATCGTCCCTTCATCTTCCACATGATGTTTCGTCACAATCTAGCGAAAACAAATAAATACAGTTCATTTGGTTTCAGAGAATTCTAGGTCAGACGACAACTATGCAAAACCGACAAGTCTGAAACTTGGAAAGCTTCTTTCTTCATGTTGATCTGTTTTTAGAGGAGAAATCCCTTCTCAAATTTCTTAGGAATAGTTTCAAACCTCTCACCTTCGTTATCTTGCGCGAGACAATATTATGCTTGTGTTTAAAAGTGCACAACCAATGTTTGGAAGCGGCAAAATTGTGTAAGGACTCATCCATAGCCTGTTTTAGAGCCCATCGTCGTAGATCAAGATCGTGTACTGGCAGGGCTTTCTGTCGAGCCCGCTCGAACATATCGAACACGTAATCATCAATTTTGTCAAGCTTCTGTTTTTTGGTGCCATGTTTTTCAAGATAACGGCGAAAGCGCGAGAGATATATTTGATGTGGGATACGTCGGAACTTATGCTTCACGGTCTCCCATCGTCTCTTTCTTTTTCCAGTTTGTGGATTAATTTCGTCATAGAATTCGACTGCCTTGGTCATGTAATCGAGGGAAAATCGTTTACATAACGCTTTCTCTTCATTCTCATCTTCATTCTCATCGTTCCAGTTGGGATCCGACGCTTCTTCAGCAGTATCTTCGCACTCGACGTCATCAATCAATTCGTTATCTACTAATTCATGATCAAGAGTTGTTTCGACTTCGAAGGTGTGGGAGTGACTGCTAGTAATTGATTCCAGCACACTGCACAACAGATCGGCTACTTCACATTCACGATGTGTGACAGTACTGGCAGAAGTCGCGCTATTCGATACAGTAGACGATAAGTTCTACGCTCGATCAGCGAAAATCTTCACAACGTTTGCGGGATTAATCATTTTGAAATTTATGTAAAGAAACTGGTATCGGATGCTTGATAGTATGTCAATTGTATGTCGTAAACAACCGAATGAAAAGAGAAACAACCTCGTGGCATGATACCGAGATAAAAGAAAGAGCACGAGGAGAAAGAAAGTAGAGAAACGTAAACGACGAACACGTGCAGTTATCGGTTAGACATGTTGGTATGCCGACCAGAAAGATGAAAAGATAATCGCTAATGTATTTTTAGCTTTCAATAATTTTTCACAGTGCATAATGAAATTAGACGTGAAATGAAGAGTTATGGGTCGTCTGTANTCCAGTATCACGTGCTGACGTAAATGTAATTGGTTCATTACCTGTGCCAGGAATTCGAAGTGTTTCGTTTTCAAGATCTAATGGCCATATAGGTAAAATACGTTTCATATAAGATCGATCTGCAGGAATAAAATAATCCATGAACCATCCTTGATTAAATAAAGTATATTCAATTTCATTTTGTTCTTCTAATAATTTACGAATAGCACCATGTGTTGGAACATAAAATTCAGGATGTTGAGGAAATTTTTCAATATCACCTCCGCATTCAGATGGAATAAATCGTTTACATCGTGATGAGTTTTGACACGCCTTGATCATTGCTTCATGAACATCATTATAAAATCGATCATTTGAATGAATTAATGATATAAGAACGTCAACGTCGGTAAGATGTTTTGTTAATGATTCAACTGAATAATCAGTTATACGAAAAATAGTATTTGGTTGTTGATCAAACCATGAACGAATTTCTCGACTTAATAATACAATTTTTGGAGGTGATCGTAAAGCATTCAATTCTTCAACAACATATTTAGCCACATCACCAAGACCAGCAACAGCAATCGTAGACATGCTTTAGTAGTATGAATATACAGTGTATTACCGATAAAATGCACTGTCATAACCATTCGGATGAAAATAAACGAAAGAACAAAAGAAGAAGAAGAATAGAAACGATCATGTGTGTCTTGTATGACGATGCAAAAAGAAACCGATATGAATGATGGATGTAAACTACCGCTAGCGACCTCAGTTTTTAATGAGAATTGAATTTCGTATTTATTTTTATTTTACTTCTTACGAAAACATATTTTAATTTTGATATAACAAAAGAAAATCATGGCTGAAATGGAACAGATTCAATTGCATCTAAATATGATTTTGCTGGATTATTTGCTATGATTTTTCCATTATTTTTTAATCAAATGTTATTATTTTTTGTGTATCTAGATTTTCAAAAAGCATTGTAAAATAAAATTCTCCGTAACAAGCTCTAGTCCATGAAAAATAATCATTAAAATCATGAGATAATACATGCATTGTACCATATTATATAAGGATTAAAACGTGCTAAACGACAAACGCGCCTACCTTGAACTTCTCGCCTACCATAAAATGGATTTCTTGTATTATCATAACATAAATAAGCTGGTAAACTAGGCTGTTCAGTTCCACTAATTACTTTTCGATGTAGTACATCAACACCAACAACAGCATTATCGATAGACTCGCCGACTACTGTTACGAAATATTGATGATCCGTTGCATTAAAAAAGATTACCATTAACTTAGGTTGTACACCAGTAGTCTTAGTAATATTAACTCATCGTTTAGCTTGAGATTTTATTGGATCTATTTGTATAATACTGATAATATCTTCTTCTATATCTGTTATTTGTAATAATGAATATAATATTCCTGTACTACTATCAACACGTAAAACAAATATTTTTTAGAATCTTAATCTTTAGTAATTCGTCTGTATTGTTTTGTACCATTAAATAGATCAACTAAAAGTACTAAAAGATTTGGTTCTCCATTTTCGAATTCTTGACTACCAAAAATATAAAATATTCATGTATAAAATCATAAGTAACATCATAAGCTTTGTAATTTTCCGGTTAATGAATTAATTTTACATAATGAATTTTATGGTGATCCAGATATATGTGTTGATCCTAATAAATAACCTTGTGAAACTCCTAGATCGATCAATCCCGTACTCGGATCCGATCAGATTTGTTGACCTGGGCTGTTTGTATTCCATTGATTGCATTAAGAAGGATAGATAATAATAACAATAATCGAAAAAAATTATTCATTGATCTAAAACATAATATAAATATAACTACAATATACTTGTCTTTATCCGAAACCTGTTTCTTACGTACGATCTTTTAACAATAAAATGTTAACTTAAGATTTCATGCTTGTTTTACGTATGTAGGTGAGATCGTGTTGTGTTTATCAGTTGGATAACACAGTGAAATGAGTGTATACATTACATAGATAGAAATAAAAGAATGAAATATTTATTATTTTTTAAAGAGCTTAGGTATTCGAGAATGAGGTCATATATACTGTAGATCGCGAATGCATCTATTTGGACGATTAAAAGTAAAGAACACGATGGATATATTTTATTTCGAAAAAATATTTTGTTAAATGATATTATTTTTGTTTTATTCGATGAAACACGAATGAATTTGTTGATTTTGTCTGACTCGCTGTTCTCTTCACTTTTTTCACAGTAACACTACCAACACTTGAAGATCGTCTATTTGAACGATTTCTATGATCAATTCGGTTAACTGGTTCAATCTTATCCGTATCTGTGTAATAAATAACGCTAGCTGTGGTGTTCCATTTGTCATCGATAATATTTTGACTATGAAATGATTTTATTGTATCATTGGATTCGACGTAGGGTGATACATGGGTTTTAGATCTCGATAATTTTGTAATACGAGTTTTGATTGGTAATGTCTCCTTTCCTACCGATTTCGCTGACTTCTTCACTAGATCAGTATTGATCGTTGGATTTGTTTCTTCATATGACTCTGGAGTATTACTCAATGTAGATCTGTGATCAGTATCTATTTCTGTTTTAGTGAGTGAGCGAAAACTATCCGTCTTATTATCCATCTCAATGAATTTGTTATGCAAGAAAGGTCTATTTGTTCTCTTGAATTGAAATTGGAATGTTTGATCCGTGTATTTTCGTTGTCGACGCCGGTTTGCAATTGTACTTCTATACAAAAGAATGTTTGTATCAATTTCTGACATGAATTTGTTAATTATACAATAAAAATTAAATAGACAGACATACCATAGGAAATAATATAGCCAATAGCAACAACAGCATAGAGTAAACAATAAAAATAGTGAGGATAAAGTGACAATCAATGATATATTTAGTTTGTTTGGAACTTGAAAGTATCAATAATACAATAGAATCACGATAAAATGACATTTGATCAAAACTTACTTAAATTTGTTACTGGTGTAGTTTGTACTGTGTTTCTAAAATGTATAATTTCTTTTTTATTGAATCGTATTTATATTTATAAGAAATAATTATTAACTCACGTTATTGAGATATTCATTGTTGTAGCTTCAGTTGTCAATAATGATATTGCCGATGTATCAGGTTCTGATGTTATGATTATATTTGATATTGTTGTTGATAAACAATTTGGATTTGAAACGTTAATATAGAACGTCATACAATATTGATCAGACTGAACTCTCTCACTTAAAAAGAATTTTCTGTAAAATAATATTGAGAAAATAGTATTTACTTTGTATAAGCAATAGTACAAAAGTATTGTAAACCAATATGCTTGATTTGTGGTGTCCAAGTGATTATAACATAGACTAACGATGTATTTGTTGTCGAATTAATTACATCACTCATTTGTACTCCTGCAGTATTTATTGTTGAAGAAATATCACCAATAATTATTTTCGTATTATTGCATGAATTAAATGCATAAAGAGTCAGATTAATTGGTACGTTAATGTTAACTTCTAAACAATCAACTATAGGTAGAAGAAGAGGCGGTTTTGTACATTTTGGTATTGGTGAAACATAAATTAAAAACTGAATTGGTATTGAACTCATTGGAACAGTACTTGTTGTGTTGATAAAATCTTCAATCTATAGAATCATATAGATATTTTTTATTCTTTGTTGTATGAGAATACTTACTTGAAGTGCAATTGCATACCAAACATTAGGAGTTGGTCCGAAAAATGATAGTACACAATTAGATAAACTTGTTGTATTTGGCATAAGATCAGGATAACAAACATCTGCGCATTCATCGGTTCCAAGTGAACTAAAATATTAATATTTGTCAGAACAAATATAATAGTCTCAAAAATATAATACTTGTTTTTTTGTGACCATCGACAGCGTACATCATCACTTTGGTTAATATCCGATACATGTATTTGAATTTCTTTTGTTGTATTCACAATGACATATTGTGGTGAGGCGACATTTGATTGAGGTGGTGTATTGATAATACCATCCGGACGTCGTCGAAGATCAATTCCACATACAATTGACCAATCAGGAGGACTTCCCATAGAATTTTCGAGTGGTCTCCAACCCGGCGCTTGAAATGCTATTGAAAAATATGCTCCGATATCAAGACTAACATTGATAGATCGCTGACTTGTCATAGTGCGTAATGAAATACTAGATGATATGCAATCAGTTAGAATATTAACTGGATTATTTGAATATCCACCTTGAGTTAAACAATTTGCTACACAAGTTAAATTCTCATTGTCTAATCGACGACTGTAAGTTGTAATGGGTACATCTTCGGTACAATTTACATCTGGATACATCCATGAATACGATTGAGTAATAGTAATTATTGTTGAAGATGAATTATCAGTAGGATCAATAGGTTTCCATGTAATAGTACCTCCATTAAAATGAAAAGTATCACTGATAGTTGTACAGATTGATAATATAACTAAGAACACTATCATTTCATGTATTTCTCTTATAGAATTAGGTGAGAATAAAAATATTTCTGTCCAACATCTTTGAAATGAATATAAGTAAAAATAAAACATATAGAAAGTAGAGTTTTAGATAAAAAACCATAAAAAATCAATGTAAATAAAACTTGATCAAGATTGTAGATAAAATATACATATTAAAATTAACGAAACCTTTTGTTAGAGGATGACATATATGTCATCCTCTAGTTAGCATCATGCGTCTCATTTTCTTGCGTTCTTCACATTTTCTTCTCGCATATGTTCACATATGTTTTCTGTTCTCTTTCCATATGTGAACATATGGCGACACATGTTGGTCATTCTATGACGTCATCTGTGTTCATGACATCATGTCATCTTTCTTTGTTCACTGTGATATTTAAGCCGGATGTTTTTAGTAATAAATATCACTCTTCTACTCTTCAGTCACTGCTCCATCTCTTCGTCTCGGAGCTACACGCTCACATTGGTGCCGTGACCCAACTCGACGTCATCCAACATCACGACGAGCAACTTCGGAAAAACCTGAGTAACCTTTTGTATGCCTAAGTGAGTGCTGCGTAGTAACCCAGACAGAACCGACTTACTACTACAATTCACAAGTGGCGACGAAGACGTAGCTGCATCACCACAGTCACATTTATCAGAAGAATCCGAACAACAAGATATAATGTCGATAGAGAAATCCAATGACCCAACGCTGGTCGAACCCGAAGCAGCGACGGATACGGACCACCAAGCGATAATGAAAATGTTAAAAAAGATACAGACGGACACTCATGACGGATTTCGAGCTTTGAAATCGGAGTTCAAGCAGGAGGTGAAAAATCGGGTGGATCAGGTGAGCCTGGAGGTGAAGCAGCTTACAGCACGGGTGGCACAATGCGACAACCTACGAACAGAGGAAATAATGGCTCTAAAAAAACAAATCAGCACATTGGAATTGGCAAACTTGGCTCCCTCATCAACTAAACCACCGACAATGGGGACTGAAGGAAAACCGATGTCACAGGGCCAGAATTTACTCAGAATGGCGTTTGACAAACAAATCGACGAGCTGAAGCCATACTATGGCAAGAAGCAGGAGAATGTCGAGATTTGGATCAAGAAGATTGACAAACTAGCGGAAATCGCAAAGATGCCGAGCGAGGAAATATTCGTCTTGGCTCAATTGAAGTTACAAGGAGATGCTGAAAAATGGTGGGATAATAAAAAGAAGGAAATCGATTCGTGGACGACATTAAAAAGCAAGCTGATAGACACATTCGGACCACTGGGTAAATCAAACAAATTGGAAGTGGAAGCTCTTCTCCACCGTCGTCAGCAAAATTTCAGCGAGCCTGCAACTAAATATTGGAACGACATGATGAGCCTTTGCTCGACGTATGACGAGAATATGTCAACACAAGATCGAATATGACGAATTGTCAACGGAGCTCTTCCAGAATTCCGACATAAATACGAAAACAAAACGTTCGACGATGTTGATCAACTTCTCAAAGCATTAATACAATACGAAGAAAATCGACTGCGACCACCGTACGATGAGTATAATCAAACAACCAATTCAGGCCGTGAAGGTCAGCCAACAATATGGAACCAACAGCACTTCTCCGAAGCTGTCAACCAAGTGGCAAGCAACCATCAACGACTACCATGGAATAATAAATCAACAGCAATACAACAACCCATCAATCGGGCTGAAACCAACAACAACGCCCAACAACTAAGTCACCCAAACTAAGTAAGGGATCGTCGAAGGATGGCGACGATCCCAAAATTGCAAGAACGAAACATCCATCCTTGTTTTATATTACAACATCAGTAAATAAGCAGCGCGTCCAAATCCTGATCGATACCGGTGCACACAAATCATTCATTTCGAAGGAAATGGCTCAACTACTTGGCGGACAACTCGTACATGGTCAAGAACAGAAGCATTGGCTAGCGGATAATGCTACACCATTTATAACGGACGGAGAAACAAAATTATGTGTAAAAATAGGAAACATGGAAACAACAGTATTAGCATCAGTCGCACGAACATTATCATGCGGATGCATTTTGGGTGTCGACTGGATTTGGGCAAATAACGTCTCAATTCTGACACATGAAAATCGAATTGTGCTGTTCAATCAGCATGGAGTCGCGATGGATGCAGTGGGAATTGACTCGGAGGAACATAGAGTATGGGAAAATTCGGTTGCTGGTACCTCCTCAATTCAACTAAAACCAAATATTGGTCAAATTATCGAGGGCTTGGTACCCAATCTGGAAGACATGGAACAACGTGCACAGTTGCGGAAACTGCTCAACAGTTTCGGAACCATCTTCGACTTGTCCATCCCAACCACAGCCACACCAGCAATGTTCCACACAATTAACACAGGTTCCGCCCAACCAATCGCACAACGACCTCGTATCCAATCGACGTACCAGAGGGCGGAAACGGAAAAGCATGTGGAAGCTATGTTAGCAGCCGGGCAGATCGTTCCATCAAATTCACCGTGGGCAGCACCGGTACACATTGTCAAAAAGCCGGATGGATCATCAAGGTTTACAGTAGACTATCGTAAACTAAACAGCGTAACAGTCAAAGACAATTATCCTCTACCATCAATTGCGGAGACCATCAACCAACTACAAGGTTACTCATACTATACGAAGATGGATCTCAAGAGTGGCTATCTACAAATCCCGATCTCGGAGGAAGATCAACCCAAGTCAGCGTTCATCACAAAGGAAGGTCTATACCATTTCAAAGTGCTTCCGGCAGGACTGAAAAATGCACCACCTACATTCCAGCGGATTATGAACACGATTATTGCTCGTGGACGGGAACAATTCTGTCTGATTTATCTCGACGACATCATCGTATTTTCAAAATCATTCAGCGAGCATCTAGAGCATGTTGGAACTGTGTTGAGAGTGCTTTATGAGCACCACTTCCAGCTGAACCCACCAAAATGCGATTTTTTCAAGTCGACGATGAATTATTTGGGACACACAATTAGCACGGATGGAATGAAACCATTGGATGAGAGGATCGAAACAATCAAACAACTACCAATGCCTACGACGTTGCGCGCAGCAAATTATTTTATTGGAAAGTTGGGTTTCTATCGAAAATTCATCAGGAACTTTGCGCAAATGGCTGCACCGATTCACCGTATCACCAATTTACACAAGGGAAGACATAGGGAGTTCACGTGGGGAGACGAGCAAGTGAATGCATTTAATCAACTAAAACAAGCAATCTCTACAGAACCATTGGTACTGAAATTTCCGGATAGCAACTCACCGCTGGTACTATCGACAGATGCTTCAGATATTGGAATTGGTGGAGTATTGAAACAAATAACACCAGAGGGAACGCGAATCATTTATTATCATTCTCAGTTGCTCAATTCGGCGCAAAAACGATATGCAACTATCGAGAAGGAGGCCCTGGCGGTGTTCAAAAGCGTGGAGAAACTTCGACCATATCTCCTTGGACGAGATTTTGTCATAGAAACAGATCACTGTCCTTTATGTAATTTCCATCAACGGGGTTCAAGGAACCGACGGGTGGATACCTGGGCAATACTCCTGTCCGAATACAATATTCAAGAAGTACGATACAAGAAAGGAAAGTGTAACTGTGATGCAGATCTACTCTCCAGATATCCAGTGGGCATAGCCGACGATGAGGAAGTCGAAGACCAGGCGGTACTACCAAATCGTAAGCAAATCAATGTATTAACGCGAGCTGCGGCAAACCGCATTAAAAGAACGAAATCTGTCTCCTCAACAACAGTTGATCATGACATGGAACATAATGACGAGCTACTTCAGCAAGCCGAACAGAATTGTGAGCAGACAGAAGCAAGACCACTTGCGATCGCTCAACTATCACCGTTGGATCTGGTGCGAATTGGAAAAGAACAACAAAACGACGAACGTATTCAACAACACTTGCAGAACCCGCTGGAGGGCATGGTCATTCAGGACGGAATTCTGTATCATCGGCGTAAAGACAAAAATGGACAGAAAATGGTCCCATATATTCCGAAATCGCTAGTGAATGACGTTTTGGCGGCCGCACACGACCACCAGTTTTCAGCACACTTTGGCAGAGATAAAACTTTCGAAAAACTGAAAACCCGATGTTTCTGGCCCAACATGTACCTAACAATCCAAAATTATGTTAAGAGATGCCAGGACTGTATACGATTCAACACGCAACGATGCAAGCCTTCGGGACATCTACAATCCATTGAGCCACCGGCGGAAATCTTCCAAATGGTGGGCCTGGACTTCTGGGGACCCGTGCGAGAGTCTTCGAATGGAAACAAATACGTATTGGTCTTGACTGACTACCTCTCTAAGTTTGTGGTGGCAAAGGCACTTCCAGCTTGTACGGCACAGCTGGCCGCGGAATTTGTGGTGGAAACGGCTCTGACGTTTGGTGTGCCAAGCCAACTACTTACGGATAACGGAACGCACTTCAAGAACGATTTATTTCAATGTTTGAGTAAAATCATTGGTTTTAATCATATTTTGTCAACACCCTATCACCCACAAACAAATGGGCAGACGGAAAGATGGAATGCGACTATGCGGCCTAAATTAGCTATGTTGTGTCAAAGTAACCAAGACAATTGGGATGGGTTTTTAGGCGGTGTGGTACATGCATACAACACCAGTGTTCATGCAACAACTGGCTATTCACCATCGTTCCTTATGTTTGGTCGGGAGATTCCATTGGCATTCGATGCAGCAAAACCAATTCTGCAACTATCTACTATATCAAATTATGTGGAGCACCTGTCAAGATACCGGAAGCTTGTATTGGCGATGGCAAATAGCAATGCGCGTCAGCACCAGCAAATGGCAAAGCAGAAATATGATCAGCATCGGCAAGCGCCAGTCTACGAAATTGGTCAACTGGTTTTCATGAAAAGGCGTGGATATCGTGACAAATTTGGGGAAAGATATTCGGGGCCATTTCGGATTATCGATAAACTGGACGAAAACCATCTAACATATTTAGTCCAAAATGACCACCAACCAACGCAATACCAAGTTCATATCAACGATCTGATCACATGTTAAGAAGTCTGGTCGACTGGACACATACAACTGGCGATCACACTGGGACAATTTCAAGCAGCAGATCATTCGCGTGGACGCTCATCTGATGGGAACGGGGAGGTGTTAGAGGATGACATATATGTCATCCTCTAGTTAGCATCATGCGTCTCATTTTCTTGCGTTCTTCACATTTTCTTCTCGCATATGTGAACATATGTTTTCTGTTCTCTTTCCATATGTGAACATATGGCGACACATGTTGGTCATTCTATGACGTCATCCGCACGGCATCTTTTCATGACATCATGTCATCTTTCTTTGTTCACTGTGATATTTAAGCCGGATGTTTTTAGTAATAAATATCACTCTTCTACTCTTCAGTCACTGCTCCATCTCTTCGTCTCGGAGCTACACGCTCACAACCCCGTTCATCGTTTTTTCTTTTTGCACTGTATATCCATCAGTTCTGTTCTTTCCTTATGTCATCTTCTACTGATGTCATTCATCGTCTATTTTTTTAAATTTATTTTCAAATATATTTTCTCCTGAATCGGTCAGAGTGTCAAAACTCTTGTCGGCTTTTTTAGAAGTAATCCCGTTATCAAGGGGTTAAATGTTAATAACTTCTTTCGTTTTTGACAGTTTTATAGTGTAAGAAAGATGTTATCTTATATGTTTGTCAAATTCTAATTATAGAAAGGAAACCTGACAAAAGTAGATAAGTTATTTTATAATCATTATATGATTATAACAGTTTATTTATTCCAAGTATGTAAAATAAAGGAGCATATTTTCAAAAGAATCCGAGAAAAAAGATAGAATAATCAAAATACAGATATTTTATTCGAATAGATTATCATCATTCGATGAAATTGGTAATTCAGGTTGAATTTGATTACTTCTTAAACAAAACCAATCTTTGATTGAATACCAATATTTCTTTTTGAGAACATATTTCACTTGACGACGATATCGAGATGATATTATTAAAAATAAATAAAAATTAATCTAAAAATATAGAAAGAAAAAAACGAGAAGAACATCAATCTATCAGATATTCAAACATATACAAATGAAGATCATACCGCATAGATTGTTGCAGCAATTGAATAGAAAATTGTTTGAATTAATCGTTCAATTGCTGAGCGTAAAAGATCAATTTTTTTTGAATCAAGATTAATCGCATATACACGATAGATTGTATATGGTAAAGATAAAACTACGTATACTATAACACGAGTTAAAACCATAGCTGTTATTTGTTGATCAAATCGACGACGTTCGATTGGAATTTGTCGACGAATGACTCGACGTACATTTCTATATGCTAATAAACTAAATGTTGATGCAATTGTAATTGGCAAAAAACCTTGAAAAATGGGATAATAAAAATATGTTGCATATTGAACAACTTGAGGATTTGTAACCGTACATCCTAATAATTCTGTTATAATAGCAAAAGAACTATATAAAATACTATGAGAAATGGAAATAATAATACATATTATAACGAAATAATAAGTTAATTTCATTTTACATATTTGTCGAAGATATAATCGATAATTTGTTGAACAAAATTGATCAACAGCTGCAAAACAAATCATAGAAGTTGATATTAATCCTGTTCCTTGAAAAGCAATATAACGACTTATACACCAGAATATTGAAAATCTTAGTGCATTATCTCCATATATTAATGATATCAAAGTGACCATCATAGTAGATAGTTCACTGAAAAGATTAGAAATTGATTCAATAATTAAATAAAAAACGCATCGATTCTGTCGAAATTGTTTTAATCGAATAAAGATCAAAATATTCAAAATATTACTGATAAATCCTATTATAATGCAAATACTGTTTACATAAAGTGCATATTGCGAAGTAAACTGCGAAATTTGTACTGCTAACGATGTTGCTGACATGTCGAATAAATGTATATACCAATATAAATGAGATCTTCTTTCTAGAAGGTTCTTTTGGCTTAGTTTTGATTAAAATGTCAACCTTAAAAAATGACATAAAGGTAATAATCTTCTAAGAAATTAAAAAAATAAGACAAACGCTGTAAGTCAGGAAGCTTTTGTATAAAATTGCAAGATATGCACTTAGGCAGGTTTTTCTAACAAAAAAAAAACGATATTAAAATAATAATAAAAGACTATCGTAAAAAAATACTTTTATCATGCTTTTTTATTTTATATTAAAACATATAATTATATAATAACAGGAATATTTCTCATGATTAATGAGAGAAAGACAGTTATGTCAATTTAGAATAAAATAAATGCGGACAAATCGGATTTAAATCCGAGCGTTGTGTGCACTCTAAGAACTGGATTTACGTGTTTACTTGAGTTTAATCCTTATTGTGTTTTAAATGATGTCTATCATATCTAACAAAAGTAGGAAGGAAACGTATATATATATATATGTTAATAGAAATGTAATCGTAAAGATTATCTTAAAGCGCGACTGATTAAAAATAGAGTTCATGCTGGCTAACTAGTCGTTACAACTACACAATTTGTTGTGAATAAACATGCAATTAATCCTAAATTGCTTTTGTTATCCAACGAAAATCTGTCTTATATTTAAACGAGATAATTAAAACATCAGGAGTTATTTTGGACGAGTTCAAAATATATTACGTATGCTATAGTAAAATTGTCATTTTTGTGTACTCAAAAAGTGAGTACACTATTAGAATCGATCAGTATGTCCGTCCGTTTATCTGATAGCTCTTGAAAACTACATGCATATGAGCCCAAAGTTTTGTCCGTAATATTGTCTCATCGGTATCTCGATCAAGTTCGAAGATGAGCTCGATCGGCTTAGCTGTTTCCAAACTATTGTAAAAATACTGACTTTCGCCTCTAAATTTTTGTAGTGCACATGGCTTTCGGGTAAGATCCGAAATTTCATAGTATTCCTATGCTTACAATAAATATGAAAAACTTTGTCAAGTTATACGAAGAAAAATCTGTATATTGTTTGTAAGTTTACTCATTCAAAATCTTGAGAATACTACGCACGGAATGGAATAGATATTCAAAAAGAAAATATTAATCATAAATGTCTTGTTTTATTACTATATAAACAAAAATGTGTGAACAAAAGATATGTTCACGATTTCATAGTTCTCTCTCTCTCTCTCTTCAGTTCAAATAATAATTGTAATGGCAATAGTTGTTAACAGTATTGTATTTTTTAATATTATTATTATGTCAAGAGTGAAAGAAGAAGAGAAACATACAGTCTGCCTCATGTATATTCATTCCAATATTTAGCCTCCAGAGATGGGCGGAGCATGAAATTATGATGACCCGCGGGGCCCGTCTTTTTAGAAATACCAACTCGCCCGCATAAACCCGAAGATCTTTAAATTTATGATTTAATTTATTTTGAATCATTTATCAAACATAACCAAATAGTTTATTATAGAGAAAAAGAAGAAAAATTCAAACTGCACTCTTCAAATGAGCAGCAGCTGATCGCACTAGCATAATGTCATTGACTGTTGATGGATTGAGATTGGTTCTTCTTTGGGATATGATAAAGCCAGCAGTGCTAAATGACCTTTCTACAGCAGCAGATGAGGCAGGAATACTGAATACTATTTTCGATAATTTTGACAACATAGGCAAAATAAGTTCATGTTCCTTCCAGAGCAATAATGAATTATCATTCTGCTCTGCAGAATAGGTAGTCTTCGATAAATCTAATTGCAGATAAGCATATAATTCACCGCGAGCTCGCATCGTATTGGTCGAGTCATGGTTTATTTGATAAAAGCTGGCATCATCCTCAAATTGTGCTGTAAAAGATTAAAATTTCTTATGAGGAGGCAACGAAGGAGCAACTGTTTCTACAGTTTGCATTGAGTGATTAGTATTAATTCGATCTGTTTCTATGATCTTTGCAATCTTAAAGCAAATCAAGCCATGTGCATGGCAGCGTTCAGCTCTATATGCAGCAGTCGAAAAGAGAGTTGAGAATATACGTATCTGTAAGTCCGATTTAGGTGGTTCTTGCACAGATGGATAGAAGGGCATTCACTCTACCTGTGTGCCAAATTCTACAGAAAAAATAGCAAAATTTGGCAAAGTTTTAGCAAAAGTAAATAAGGATACGGAAAATCTTTATCCAAATGCCTTGCATCATTCTAAGCAGTTTTACGATTCTTATTTAGTAACAAGTGCTATTTTTAGCTAAAAAATAAATACAATTCGACAGTCTAACGCGAAATTGCTGATACAGATTTATTCAGAATTCATCTGCCATAAGATAATATGTTAACTATCTAGAACACACGACAAATATTCTCCTACGAGCGATCAACTTGTCGTTCACTGTTGCATTTAAAGATCACCAGAAAACTTAGGATGCAACGTACAAGAATCGCCGCTAATTTCAGACTTCAAAATTGTTGAAAATATTATTATGATTCATATCTTCCCTCGATGGATCATAAGGGTTTTCCCCTTCTGATCATACTAAAATATTCCTTATGAACGTTTCATGTTCTTCGTCAGAGAAATTCTTCGTATGTTAGCAAAGATTAATAAAGTAATCGTTGCATGTGAAATGAAAAAGGAAGAACAATATTTCGCTACGGATTGTTGCACTTTATTATTTACACGTGTTTCGTTTATAGCCTTATCTGTTGTATTTATCGTTCTTCTTCTGTTATTCGCGAGTATTATGATATTTTTCCTGTAGTTTTAGAGATAATTATAACATCACTATTTATTACAGGTTAACTTTAGATATGGCTTCGGAAGTATTGAATCAATCAAATAAATTGAATTTTGATCATTTTAAAGAGCAACCGCGATTGACTATCAGCATTGAAAACCGCATGGCAATATTAGCTGCTAATGAACATTTTTTACTCTGCGATTCCACAAACGGCTTATTGTTAATTGATGAACAAGGAAATGAAAAGATTAGCATACCAATAAGGTTTAGCGCTCAAGCTGGTTGCTGGTCATCACACTTAAATCAATTTCTTATTTCGGACGGTTCGGGCGAAAATCTTTATGCGCTGGATATTAATACACAACAGTTACATGCAGTTAAAAAGATTATCGAAGGTGTACGAAGTTGTACATGTTATGAAGAGACATTTTTGTGTGCCATAGGTCCTAGAGGAGAAAAAATAGAGAAATATAATCTATCTAATTGGCAATTAGAAGGTACGTTTTCCATACGAGATGTTGCTCAAATAAAATTCAATAGTGATGGTACTCATGTTGGAATCATACTAGATGATCCTGAAGATGTTGTTTGGAGTGCATTTTCGTTTGCATTATATAATCCTCAGGATATGAGTCTGTTACAAAAATCAACTTATATTGACGCTGGCCATTATTGTTGTCTTATTCCTTTACCTCTGAACGGACAATTCGAGTATCTGGCAACTATATATACAGAAAATTATATCTATCTATTAGATTCAAATGGACAACTCAAAGAAACACTTGCGGATAAACATGTGAAAAAAGTTATATCAGCAGCTATAATCAACAGCAAGATATTCTCGCCCTCGCCATCACACTCACCCGATATTCACAAGATGGAATAGATGTCCAAGAGCGTATTTTTTAATCTACATTGTGTAACTGAATAAACCATCATGTTATCATTCTCTTGCTACCTGGTGAGTCAGTGACTGCTCGTGGAGCATTTTCTTTTTTTTTCACTCCTCTCCATATACTAATAGAGCAGTACGCTGTTTGAATCACATGGATGTAATAGGTGTTTTCTGTCATTTCTTAACATTTACGCAACNTTTCTTCTCGCATATGTTCACATATGTTTTCTGTTCTCTTTCCATATGTGAACATATGGCGACACATGTTGGTCATTCTATGACGTCATCTGTGTTCATGACATCATGTCATCTTTCTTTGTTCACTGTGATATTTAAGCCGGATGTTTTTAGTAATAAATATCACTCTTCTACTCTTCAGTCACTGCTCCATCTCTTCGTCTCGGAGCTACACGCTCACACCTTTTCTATTTTCAAAATTGGAATATTTTATTGTAATTTTTGTACTCACAGATGTCGAAACAAGAAAGAAGTTATTGATGACTTAGAAAATATAACTGAGAGCCATATCTAAGTCACCATTGCAATCTTCCTTTTTTCTTTAATTTAATTTGTTTTGGGACTTTTACTTGTTGTATAAATAAGAATTTACCTACCGATTCAACGTAAAGCAATGCCATTTTGGATAGAAATGAGGGTGTCGATAAAGAGAAGATGAGTCCTCACCCTCACTCTCACCCTCACACCCTCAATTTAACTAATTTCGTAGGCTACTTGTGCCGAACATCGCCGTATTAAAGCTTTTCTTGCTCCAATTCAACGACCCAATTCACTTTTCACGAAGATCTCATTCAGTGTCGCTGATTTTGTTAATCACTATTTTCCTCTACAGCAAAGAATCCAGCTTCTTCGATCTGGTAGTCATTAACAGTTAGTTGTCTTTACCCAACATACACATACTCTAGCTTTTACTTTCTTATTTAATTGTTATTGAGGAAGATATATTATGCAAGCCTTTCAACAAGTTCTACTAGAAAATATGAGACACAAATCTTTTCTCAAAAGATCTTTCGAATTAGCGAGGAAGAATCAACAAGTTCAAGATTATGTTCGGGACGGGATCTTGTGCATGAATCAGTGGGATGAGGATTCTCTTGTCTGGTCCCGCTTGTTTCGAAAATTTCTTAATAATTCATTCCCTTAGATAATACACTCTCAAGAATATTCTTCTAGTATGAAACTCGAAGATCCGAGGATGCCATCCAGTAGTAAAGATCGCGAACTCCGGGGAACATTTCCAATAAATTCTATCAAATATGTTTTTTATGACTAGTAACTCTCCACCCTTGATGCACCACAAACACACTTTTATTTATTAGTCTCTACGCATGTCATCATAAATATTCACATCTGATAATGATAGACGAAAAGATTCATACATCATTAGTTTTTGTCGTCAAGGTCGACATTATAGACGAAAACGTTGCACGCGATGATTACCATAGTCAGCCACATAAAGAAATGTCTCTGTTGGATCGAGAACACAATCACCAGGCGTATTCAGAAGTGATGACGTGCTGCCTGCTACTCCTGTCACGCCAGCAACGATCGAACCTTGCGTAGCATTCACTACCCACTTCACCACTCGATGATTGTCTTGATCACCCACATACACCGACTGATCTTTCAATGATACACACACTCCTGATGGATTCTTCAGCTGATTCAAGCCTGTACCATATCCGTTACCGCCGGCGACTGTAATACCTATTGTACTGACTCCCAGCAGAAATTTCTGTACGCGATAGTTGTAGTAGTCAACCACATAGAGTGCTGAATGTACTTCATCAAGAGCAATAAACTTTGGGCCATTGAGCAAACTACTAGTGCTACCTGGTGTATTGAGTTGTCCAGCAACAACTACACCTGCAGTAGCATTCAGTGTCCATTTCGTCACTACATGACAAGCGAAGTGTGAAATATAAATATTTCGATACCGATCAACAGCAATGCCATAAGGTGAATAAATCGAAGACAAGCCACATATATATATTGCGGAGCTTGGCAGAGTAGTGTTCATTGGTGAAATAAATAGGCTAGCGAGAGTGAAAGCACTCGTGTAAATATATTCCATACTATCAGCGGACACATCTTCAATTATTCCACTTAGCTTCGCAATGGTTAGTCCTGAGCGAGACAATGATGGATAAACTTGTACCCGGCCAGTATCATAATCAGTTACATACAGTGTGTTGTCTGATGAAACGTACAGTCCCCATGGGCCTGACAAACCATATGCTCCACCACCTACTGTTGCATTGCAAAAACCGGCAGCTGTCCAAACCGCTACATCAAAAGTACGAGATAGATAGAACTACACAGGCGTTTTCAAGTAACAACACTTACTTGTTTGATTCAAGCATTGAAATACAGAATTACATCCAACATCTCGACACTCCAGTGCAAGATCGGATCGGCAACTATCAATGGTTGCACACGATTGATTCAAGTATCGTTGAGATGAACACACACTTCCATCCCAGAATGTCATTGGTGGACACTGACAAGTGAGAGAGAGTGGATCACACTCTTCATATCGACTCTCAGCACATTTGTCACATGGTTGATTGTGAATAGGAGTGTATATATCTGGTGCGATTCGAATGACACCGACTCTGGATTGCGGCTTCGATGGAGTAGCCAGAGAGATCATACCTGTCGTCAAATCATCTGACCAGAGTCGACATTGGTTTGTGTCTGAATCGTAATCGAATAGTCGACAAGCGGTTCTTTGATTGCATTGCGTGTAACAACGCAGAAAGTTGGCCTGAATGAGGATGAGAAGAGGAGCGCTTACATTGCTGTAGGGTGTAAACGTGTAACCGAAATCAGTTAGAAATGAGATTGATTTATCCTGATAAACAGGATCTATATAGAACAAGCTCAGTATGAAGAGAATAGCATGGAACATTTCTCTGCGATTTCTTTAGTCTTTTTAAATTGAAAATGAATGTAATGAACTATTTTTTGAAGAAGAACAAAAACCATAATTACATACGATGAGTTCTTCCTATTTAGTCGATTTGAATTACAGGTTAGAAGGGAAGCAATACTTTAGGAAAAGTGCATGCGGATGTTTCTGTCATGCTCTGAGGACGAATAATATTATGCACTCCTAGATGCTTCATAATGTATAGCATAGTGCTTGAATTGTTTCGTTAAATGACTGAAGACATGCAACATATTGAAAATATAGTCTGGCTGGTCAATTTTTCTTCAAAACTAATATAATGCCGTCGAAGTTTTTGAATAAAACACAATTTTGATTATTGATGTCTTTTAGAAAAAAGAATAGAGTCTTGAAATGGATAATTTTCATAATTGATTTAGACGTGCTGCACATCGATCTGTTGAACTTAAAAGAACTTTTTACTCGAATAGTTCAACTAAAACTACATGTTAGAACATGAAAGTACTAAAAAATATTCTACGCAAATCTTGTTTCTTCATGCCACATTACTCATTTTAATGCAAACAATTTATTCTTTATATATTGTCCTAATAGAAATATGAATTAGAAATGAAATACTTTAAATAATATGATCACAAGATTGTTCAGCAAATGCATTGAAGTGATCCATTGATTTCCGAGAATCATTCTATACAATTTCTCAGAAAATTTTAAAATTCTTGAGCAAGCTGAGAGATACAAATGACTTCGGTAGTTAATGCTTCAATAGTTCAAAGTTTTGGCTCTGCGATAAGTTCCTTTCGTTTGTTTTGTAGATTAATTATCTAATTACTGGCACGTTTTTAAAATTGCCAGGGATCTCACACGCGGCCCAGACGCTCGTGTGTTTGTTGTGCAATAGTTTTTATTGATAAAATAGTAATATCACAATCTTTCGTCGAAGTCCTTACGAACCTCCTTTCTTGCTATTATGCTCGTATGATCTGACGGTATATGCAGATAAGTAGAAATGAGCAACCAGCGAATTTCATCTGATAAGCATTTCCGTGGCAGTGTGTGACAGTGGAATATTGTGTGTAAAAAGTTATGCTATTTTCAGCCGTTTTATATTTTATTGAATATGCTTTATCTTTTGTCCTAGAAAATGACCAATCGCTCGTATACCAGAGTCATGAAGCTCGGGGTGAAGGTAAAGAAGGTATAGAACGCATTGTTTGAGTATAATACGAAACAGAGCTGAATAGAACAAGTCTTATTGGGGAGGAAACAATACTGACAATGTATATCGACGTCCCGGTCCATTTGAATGTTGGGACGGTCGCCCTAACTGGTGAAGCGGATCATTACAATAATCTGGACAAAGAAGGCTACCCACCTTGGACAAATAACTTTTATTATCATATAAACTTACATTTTGACTGCAGTTCTTTTTGTGTCCAGAAAAAGCAAAAAATAAAAAGTGAAAGTCTTTTTTCTTGTTGCCCATCCCACATCATCATTTTTATCATAAGGAGAAACGTTGAACTCGATGATTACCATAGTCAGCCACATAAAGAAATGTCTCTGTTGGATCAAAAGCACAATCACCAGGCGTATTCAGAAGTGATGACGTGTTGCCTGCTACTCCTGTCACGCCAGCAACGATCGAACCTTGCGTAGCATTCACTACCCACTTCACCACTCGATGATTGTCTTGATCACCCACATACACCGACTGATCTTTCAATAATACACACACTCCTGATGGATTCTTCAGCTGATTCAAGCCTGTACCATATCCGTTGCCGCCGGCGACTGTAGTGCCTACTGTGCTGACTCCCAGCAGAAATTTCTGTACACGACAGTTGTAGTAGTCAACCACATAGAGTGCTGAATGTACTTCATCAAGAGCGATGAACTTCGGACCATTGAGCAAACTACTAGTGCTACCAGCTGTGTTCAGTTGTCCAGCGACAACTATACCTGCGGTGGTATTCGGTGCCCATTTCGTAACAACATTACAATAGAAATCAGATATATAAATATTTCCATATCGATCAACAGCGATACCGTATGGATCGTAAATTGAAGACGAAGTGCACGGACGTTGTATAGCAATTGGGAGCGTGGTGTTCATTGGCGAAATAAACACACTGCTGAGGGTGATATCAACTACGTAGATACATCCCATACTGTCCATGAATATATCTTCAACATGTCCACTGAGCTCTGCAATCGTTACTCCTGAGCGAGATGATGGTGCATACGCTTGCACTCGACCAGTATCGTAATCAGTCACATACAGAGTATTGTTCGACGTGACATACAGTCCCCATGGACCTGATAATCCATATGCTCCGCCACCTACTGTTGCATTGCAAAAACCAGCCACTGTCACGACATTTGTTTGATTCAAGCATTGAAATACAGAATTACATCCAACATCTCGACACTCCAGTGCTAGATCTGATCGGCAACTGTCAATGGTTGCACACGATTGATTCAAGTATCGTTGAGGTGAACATACATTTCCATTCCAGAATGTCACCGATGGACACTGACAAGTGAGAGAGAATGGATCACACTCTTCATATCGACTCTCAGTACATTTGTCACACGGTTGATTGTGAATAGGAGTGTATATATATGGTGCGATTCGAATGACACCGACTCTGGATTGCGGCTTCGATGGAATAGCCAGAGAGATCATACCTGTCGTCAAATCATCTGACCAGAGTCGACATTGGTTTGTGTCTGAATCGTAATCGAATAGTCGACAGGCGATTCTTGGATTGCACTGCATGTGGCATCGGAGAATACTGCTTTGGGCGAGCGTGAGAAGTGGAGTGCTTGCACTGCTGTATGGGGTGAACGTATAACCTAAATTGCTTAAGCGAGCTGTTGATTGATCTTGGTAAGAAAGATCAACGGAGGATAGACTCAACAATAAGAGAATGATAGTCGACATCTGACGGTGCCTCTTTCGTTTCTTCTCAGCAATAAACAAAATGATATAGTGCGTCTGAAAGAAATCTAGAAAAAGAAAATAACTGCATATGAAGTACTTTCCACTTTTAATCACATCGAAGTGGAGAAGATAATAGAAATATGTCGTGATAAAGTTGTATATAGGATCGAATGCTGCCTTTTTTCAATCTTACTTCACTTTTCCTCTGACGAGAATTGTTCATGTGACAGAAAGTGACCTTTTCTTTCGAATACTTCAAATAACTGCTGATTGTGTTTGATTTTTTACAATAGGAAGCCTATCATAGACGAAAAAGCACGATTATGACGTGACAGACTTGTCAATTCCTAGTCGTTACGATGAATGTATTTTGACATAATATCAAAAAATCTCCTTCTGCTACTAGTAGTCTTTATATTTTAAGTCTTGTACGAAATAAAGATAATATCCGTTTGCCATCAAATCTAGAAACTCTAATTGATACTTCGTTGGAAAAGAGTCTGATGGCTGACAATATATGACAACAACAAGTGACAGAAAGGAGAGGAATCTGATGTCTGCTCAGACGTTTATTGTCACAAGAATTGTCCAAGTTCATACTCCGATGCTTCTCAGTTCGCAAATATTCATTTTCTGTACTGCAAGTAAACCACGCATGAGCTTTACTTTTCGCTGATATCCCATCAGTTCTATGTAGTTTATTTCTTTTCTACAATTTTATTCGTTTACATGAACAACTTCATCGAAATTATTTTAAAAAAATGATCATTTACTTAATACTAGCCACCGCATAACTACCAATACGTTGAGTCATTGAATGATCGGAGCATTTACCGCATAATTTGGATTCTATGTGATTACATTCTCTATTCATTCAATCAATGGCTAATGGTACTTGCTTGTTTCGAGCGTTACCTAATGATCTTTTTCCAACGAACCATAGTCGCAAATCGATTGTTAATTTTTCTTCTTTACTATGCATCCGCTGTAATCATCGTATTCTTCTGTTTTCTTTGGTACATTTATATAGTGCTAGAGGGAGTACTCGCTGCAAATAAGAAATATCTATGTCGAACATTTCACGTGTTGAAGACCTATAACAGGTAGAAAATCAGTATAACTCAAATTTCTACGCTTCCAGTCCTTAATTTCCCGCCGTGCATCGCGTAAAATGCCAGTTTTGACTATATTTTTTATGCAAAAGAATCACCGAAGCTAATTTCTGCCTCAGAACTTATGAAAATTTCCTCTTTCTCTGATATTCATTTTCCACTCCAGCTATTCATTCATCAACCTCTTTCTCACTCTCACATCATTTCATATCTTAAATCCTTCGAATTTACCCACCCTCAACATTTATCTTAATCTTTCGTGATCCTGTAACGCTATTGGTGAGCTGCGCAGATTATCTGTAGCATTCACCGAACTATCATAGGCGTAGAGAACACGTGGATTGTTGTCTTCGAGCGCTCAGACGGCCTTCGCTATTGATTTCACCGATTTTTCAAATTCCGCAATCCTATTGGTCAGTTTCCGTGAGTTGCCTAATTCGACTTATATTATAAATGGACTTCCAACAGACTAATATCAATTGGAATATAAATAGATACCTATCAACGTAAAAGTATAGGAATATATTTAGTTATAGTCACACCCTCACCTCATCCTTCATCCTATATCTAAAACTATTCCTATCTATATCCAGATAAGGATTAGTGTCATAGGAATTGAGCACTCGTATTATAAATCGAATTAGGCAGCTGCTTCATCTGAATTTGTTCGGCTTTAAATTGTCTCAGTTGAGAATAACATTATCTTTTTAAGTAAACTGGTTTTGATGAAAATGATTTTGATCTGAACTAAATTTTAATTGGGCCTATACTTCAAATGCGTATACTTCACACTTGGACTGCAAATATGATTTAAATAAGTAAAATTAGAAGGGGGTTTGAATATAAAAAGACCAATTTTATGTAGAAAAGTGAGAAGACGAAGGTTTAAAAAGTACATCTTCCGTAATAAATCGAACGGTTTGATATATTATCGGCTTAACACGTGTGAATGAACGTAGATGCACAAATACAAATACAAATTGTACATTGAATTTTACCACCAACTGGTTTGATCCTACAGTACTGTATTCAGTATATCTATATTCTGATGTACTATCGTGTAGTGTCATGTACTGACCTTACTTTGGGTCTTCAATTTTCTCTACACTATAATGTCAAAGCATTTTAGTGTTGAGGATCACTACTACAACCCTCATCATTTCCATCCTCTGGCTCGATAAAATGACAGTACAAGAGCACACAAGTCAGTACATGACAGTAGATAACAATACAAATCAGTAAAGCTACGCTGTCTTAGTTGGCACGTTGAATGTAGGGAATATAGGATACAAGAAAAGCTTCTGTTCACCGAATAAGCCAGAGTAAAAAACGCATTGGTATTTGCGCAGCCCTCATATGAAGTTAAGCATTTTCTATTATCATTTAGGTTCATATCGATATTTCATTAAAAGTGAGTTACTTTCAAAGTAATACATCGAATATTTATTGTTACCATTTAGTTCGTATTGATGTGTAAATAAACGTGAGTTGTGTTCGAAATATCACATTAAACATTTCTTATCGTCGTCTAGGTTCTAGGCTGATATCGATATCTAATTAAGAGTAAGTCATATTTCAAATACGAAATGAAATATTTTCTACTATTATTTAGGTTCCTAGCCATATTTGATTAAAGATGAGTCATATTTTAGATCTTAGACTAAATATTTCGTATTGTCATTTAGGTCGAGATCGAAATCATACGAAAGGTAAGCTATACTTTATATAGATAGCGAAATATTTTCTTCTTTTATATTTAGAGTGATCTTTATCGCAGACAAATTTTAAGTAGGATATTAGAAATAAAAACAGAACCATTTTCTCTTTATATCTAAGTTGATTTGTGCACGTGATCGAATACTTTTCTTTTGTAGACGATGTGTTTTTGCATTTTGTTTTTCTGAACGTGCGTGTCTGATAATCGGGGTTCCCGATGGTAGTCGTAAAACTTCTTGAAAATTTGAGGAACATGGGTGTTACTTTTTGGAACGTGTACGATGCGAAAAACTAACATGATGTTAAAGTATTGCGTTTTGACCGGTAGTGTTTATGTCCATTTTCGGATGGTGGTTGTGGTTCCCGATCGGGTATTGCAAACGCTCATGAGTTATTAGCGATGAAATGGTATAAGTTCCTTAGCGTTTGTTTTAATATAAATTACATATAGATAGTCGCCGCCGCATATATCAGCTAGCTAGAAATTACGTCGTGTTTTGATCGCTTTTTTTACATGTTCTAAGGTGATCATCGGGAACCACGATTGACATTCAGACACGATCGAAAAAAGCTACAGTTTACACGCGTTTTTTCAAAATCTTGACTGCTTGGGTGGAAGCATCGTGGAAAGTTTCACGCCGATAGCTATTACAGGGACTGAATGCACAGCGAACAAACAAACAGACAAACTTTCTTCTTTATATATATAGATGTGTACATTGGATAATCTCAACAGACGCTAAACATATGTGAAGGAAAACTGCAACACATGACGTAAGGGAATTATCTATCGAACAATTAGTTCAAACTCCAATTGGCGCAGCGCGTCAAACTCTAGCTATACTATAAAAGTGATTTGCTTCCAACTATCGCCTGAGATTCCGGAAAAATCGTTTGATTGCGTAACATTCATCATTGAGGTCGGATTTCTTGAGAAACTGTTGGTCGCGACACAATTCGACAAACATGTACTCGGTACAGCTACTTGCAAGCTGCACAGTTGTAAAAAGTATCTCTTCCACTTGGTTTTCTTTGGGTAATACATACAAAAAAACTAGCCGATCTGATAGAATATAGCTTTTTATCAGTTATTTTGGTGTACCTCATATGATCTAGATGGTCTAAATGCTCAACGGATTAATCTATATGTGTAGGCAAGTGCTTGGTAAAATAAATTAGACGGAACCATCGATATGCAAACAGAAAGTCTCCGAAGAAAGTGGAAAACTGACTATAGAAGCGCAAAGCAGTTTTATTTGTAAAAGAAATGGGCTAGTGGCGCTATCTTTAGAACAGAAAATTCTGCATAAAACAGAAATGCTCAATGCACTTTCTACAGAAACTTTCTTGTTGAGTGATACAGGCATGTGTACAACATGTCTTTTACGAAACTGGGGTCAGATTCATTGTCAACGTGAAAAAGCGTATTTAGAAACCTGCTTAGATATGTTTCCTTTGCAAAAATAAATCTTCCAAAGCTTAATGAGTGAATCGACTTTCTTTTGAGCGCCCGAAAAATAGCTATATGTTGAAAGATTTCTTCCATCCTTCTTTACTTTTTACTGTATTAACCTAAAGGCGATAGTTCGGAAATCCGATCAACATACAGGCTTGTGACGATAAGTCAAAACTTTTATTTTATGGATGAAACAGCTACAAAAGTCAGCCGTTATTCAGTAGTCCTTTAATTTTTTCGCCACGTGGAGTTTTATTTACCGAATATTTTTGTGTTATGTATAAGTAAACGGCTGATACGAAGCAAAAGCAATCAACCATCCGCATCATTGCCTATGAGTGGGTGCGCAGGACAAAGGTAGATAATACAAAGATTACACTCGAAATAACGGACACAAGCGAAAACGAAGTAACACGATAGTTACAGCAAATGCGCCCGTCGCGAAAAACACTAAATACCAACATCGTCTCATACTGTTCCAACGAAAAAAGTCCATCACTCGAAGTCGACCATTGTTCAACGCCACTAGGATGACTGTGCACGTGGAACTTATGTTATTTTTCAACTAAACTCTTCAAGAGCCAGTTGATATCAAAAGCGCTCGCATCTTTCACAAACGTTAAGTATCAGTAACAATGTTAATTCTGCTTCGGAAAGAACACCAACTTCAGAGACGATGACTACATCATAATATTTTATTCAACTTCATATAAAAGTGGTGCCACACTGCCAGTGCTCTGCTCATGCGAAAGAGATATAGTACTCCTGACGTTGGGACAAACAGTAGTTAATTAAACAAGTATGGCACAGTATTACAAATAGCTATCATTAAGTACACACTGCATTTTGTATCCAGTAAAGCTGTTCGATCAGCAACTACTTCCCAGATTGCAGTTCAGTCTTTCTAATGGGCATCGCATAACCCACTCAATTGACAATTATTTTTGCGAATACGATCTCCATTCAAAATCAATCATGTACCTGAAAAGCTGTTTATTTACAGGTATGTGAAACCTTTTCTCCGTTGTTTCGCGTACAATTTCGGGAAGCCGAAGTTGGGGTATAATGCTATGATTTAGCATGACTTGAATCGGAACAACTTCTTCTTTCCTTCTCTCGTTGTTTCGCGTACAATTTCGGGAAGCCGAAGTTGGGGTATAATGCTATGACTTAGCATGACTTGAATCGGAACAACTTCTTTTTCTTCTTCTTCCCTTCTTCTTCTCTCAGTTCCTGTTTTATCGCTTCGCTGAAATATATTGGAAAGATGAATCAATGGAAAAATGCCTCGATCATGTGTGAATGCATTTGGCATGCAAGTAGATGACGAATGAAAATAAAACTTTTTCAACAGCGGCACAAGTCCTAGTATGGTGCGCCATACACAACCACTGCAGAGTCGTTCATTGTCGATTCGCGTTTCTGGGCGAACCCATAGTATTCAATGTTGCATATGCCACTAACGTTGTGAATCGCGAATCATAACATTTGGAAATCGCATAGACCTGAATATCCTATCGGTGGCACGATTGTTTTCTTCGATGTGATCGGCATACAAGCGACGAACACATAGAGCATATTTTTCGTTTTATGAATGCATCAGATTTTGAGAAATAAAGAAAAATAGAAGTGTGGGTGTGGCCGTGGGGACAAGGAAGGGTTGACGAATGCGGAACTAGACAAGTCAGTCAGAAGGTAAGTTTAAATGCTTAGAACTCAGCAGTATTGTCAANTTGACCTAACAGTCGGTTGTAATAATCCCTTTCTGCTTTTGGTTTTCTATCGCTGATACCTGAGTTTAAACCTGATATCGCAATACCAACAGCTAAAAACGATGCATAATCGCTTCCACCACCCAATTCGCTGATCGTATATGGAAGATTCTGACTGATGAACCAATCACGAAACAATTGTGTCAATCGAATACTACCAGGGAGTGCTGATGGCGGAGTTGTACTAAAATTCGCTGAACTGCCATCATAAATACCCATTTGAAAGTTCGGTGACGCCAACATATCATAATTAAGATTAACAAGATAATCCGAAATACGTTCACCAGGAATCGTGCTGATGGTTGCTTGAGAAACATGATATTCAGAACCGACAAGACCGACTTCTTCTGCACCCCACCAACAGAATTTGACACGATACTTATAAGGTGGATAAGATCCACTTTGAAATAGACGCGCCAAATTTGTTGCCAAGACAAGATTCGTTGCAGTACCACTAGCATCATCGTTCATTCCGGGACCATCGGGAACGCTGTCAGTATGGCTTCCGATGACGATCGTTTTTGTTGCATTGCCTGTCACTGTGTGAGCACAGATATTACCCACTGGTTCGGGATATTTGCTTGTTGAAAGATGAATTTTGATGAAAACATTCGTTTTCAAGTTTTCAATAGTATTCAATAATTTCGTACCGACTTGGTAAGACAGAGATAACGCAGGAAATATTACATTCTCATCTACTCTTCCTGATGCTGGTGAATATCGATCTAATGATGTACCATCATTGTAAATCAGAAGACCAGCGACGCCGTACCTAGCAGCCAGAAGTGATTTCTCAGTAAACGTGCAAACACCACGTTTGATAAGCACAACTTTACCACTCGGTGATGATGTAGTATTCAACCAATTTGAGTCCTCACAACCGAAAGCAGGCATTGATACTAACTGAAACGTCTTCGCAAGACTGGACGATCCAGAATTTCTTAAACTGATGAAATCATTGCCTGAGCCATATGTATAATTCATTTCTAGACCATTGATGGTTGTTGATAGAACAGGGTCACCATTCAAACTGAATTTCATGTAAGGAAAAAATTCCGTTTGCACTTGTAGGTTTGTATTTGTTTTTAAATAACTATATATATAATCGAAGGTTCGATTGAATCCTTCAGTATGAATAGCACGTGTTCCATTGCATTCATCGGCAATATTTTGTAATTGTTGCAAATGTTTCATTAAATCATCTGAAGATATGGAACATACTAACATGCCTTGATCACATTGGACATTTGCCTCCGATTTATATGTTCTTCGAACAACAATACCCAATACTGATGCTGTTAGTGCAATTGTAACTATTGTTGAACAGAGAATTAATGCAAGGAGAATATAAAGTTTTGCTTTTTTCATCTTCGATCTTGTGCGTTCTTTTTCAACGATATGCACCACACGATACTGATAAGAACAATCTGTAATAAATGACTCTTGTTTTTTTCAACCATTCGATCGAGAATATGCTTGACAATGTTTGTCTCTGTATCATATTTCATTCAGATGTTTGTCAAATGATATACGATCTTACTTTTTTGGATGTTTTTCAACAAAATGAATCAAACGTGAATAGATATAACTATCATAAATAATCAAAACATAATAGTAGAAGAAGAATTTCAGTTACGAAACGCCATACAATCGATTCTCTTGGGAATATCTTTTTTATTATGATACGATAAAAGGCACGAAATTTATTTCATTGTATAGATCAATTATACTTGATCTTTAATCATCACATTAATTATCCTTACAGTCATTCTCATCCTTTTCTACATACTCCAGAAATACCTGTTTCAACGACCGCAACCATATCAGCCGCGTTATAGTTACCTGTGAAGATTACAAGTTTTTTGAAACGATAAATAGTCGTATTTCACAACATTGTGGTAAGAATATCTAATAATCTCCAGTCACTATGTTATACGTTCGATTATACCTGTTATAGTCAATGTTTACTTGAAGGCCCAAATGATCAGGACCGCTTTCATCTACTCCATTCATCCAGTTATATTAAAGGAAGAACAAGTTTTTTTTACACATTTGAGTAATACCAATTAGTCACATTTCTTTGATCATTATTTTTTTGAATGAGCTCGCAAATAATAGACCACTTTTGGTTCAAGTTCAAAGTATTAATATCAACAATGAGTTCCTGTGAGAAACAAACAATATAATACTTGTTTTTCCTATATGCCGCGGTGATTCACACTGATCTCAAATGTCTTCACAGATGTTAGCAGGTACTTGCTGTGTTCTAAAAATTCCATCAACGATGGTTTCCTCTCAATTGTCGATAAACTCTCACTGGAGTACGACTTATTTGCTCAGAAAGGACATTTAGATAAATATAGTCATAAGAAAAAAATTTATTGAAAAGAACGTAGCATAGAGGCCTGGTTTTCTTTATACACGGGATCGATGGATAGCTGGGAGTTACTTAGCGTTTCGGATACAACAATATGTTTTGCAATAAGTACACCAATAGTTCATTTGACTGTCGCTTTGTAAGCTGGGCAAATTATCTGCATGAGTTTTTCCAAATTCATGACAAAATTCGCAATGAACCACAGTATTCTTCATAGATGTCTCCGAGAAATTTGTAGGACATCTTTCTACTTGTCGGCTTGATTCATTGAGTGTTGTACTTTGCGATCGTCGAGTAAATTTATTCGACATCTCTAAAAATCAGACAGGATTTTTTTATACTCCCTATTCCGCATTTTTAATTTGAATATATATTATGTTGCTTACAGAGAAACACTTCTAGAACTTGAATTGTTGTAATAAAAATGTTTTTTTTTCTTTTTTATTTCGTATATCTCTATGCTTGATAAATCAGGCCAACATAGATAACAATATTTAACGACGAAAACATTCGTTCGCTATTCAAAATATTGCTTTATCATCGGATATATTCACGTTGGTTTTTATCTTACGTAGTAGCGTTATGAACAAATGTATTCGATGATTAAATAAGTTTTTTGCGGGCAATTTCAAGTCTTCTTTTTATACTATTTTAGAAAATTTAGGTGGACTCATTATTTTGAAAAAGAATCCGGTGAAGAGTTCTCATTTAATTTTTGCATTTTTTTATGAAATGAGATTTATATAAACAAGAGAAAATGAATAATAAATGTATGTAGTGAGCTTCATGATTGGATCGTTCTTGATGAAAAAAAAAACAGAAATGCGATCAGAAAATAACAACGATAAAATAATTACTTTGAACAACAATTGTTTCAACTGAAATATGTGAAGGCTTCTATGGCTGATCTCGTATGTCATCACAAGAAAATTATTTTCCTTCGTGCAAAATCTTATACATTGAAAGTACATATTTAAGAAAAAGAGAAAAATGCCAAACTCTATTCATTGTTTCATATTATACTCTGATGCTTACACGCCGAGTTAAACCAACAGTTATTCGTATTAAGAAGAGCGCATCAACAGTGAGTTATTTCGCCACGTTAGTCTACTGGATATCGGGATTCATTTCTTCTAGGCAAATCCGCCAATTACTAGTACGCAAAGTACAAATGAATCGTCCGCTGCTACACAGAGTCAGCCAAGGAAGTCCAACATTTCATCTGTTCATACAGAGAGAATAAGTCCATCACAAATCAATGTTAGCAGGACTAGTGGTTCAACGCGAGATTCGTCCATCAATGCGCAAAATGCGAATAGTTCCATCTCACGCCAGGTCACACCAAGTGATGTAGGCAAATCCACTAGATGAGACGCTGAACTATTGTTAAATGCTCACCTTGCTATTTTAGACAGAGAAAAGTTATTTGCCAGGATTATTCTCACGGTTATCGTCTCCTGGTAGTACAAACTCGATTTCACCGTTGAAGGTACTTGTATATTATAATGTCAATTATGATACTCACTATATTATGCAATTTAGATAGGAGTATGGAATGATAAGGATGATGACGAAAATCGAAGAAATAGACGAAGAAGGTAGCTTTCAACGAGCTTCTCATATGATCACATCTTTCTTGTTTGATAAAGGGGTGCTTCATTCCATATAACAAGATGCTGTTGCTGGGCTTTGATTGCTGCTGCAATCGCCGTGATCCTACTTGCAGCTTTGATTACAGCAATCATTTGGCTTCGTAAGTATTTGTGAGGCCGATGTATGGTATGAAGATGATTTTCTTCTTGATTTAATAGTTATGCAACCGAAAGTTACTACGACGACAACAACGAGTGAGTGACACATATCAAGAGAGATTTAGTAGGCTCCGAAAATATTGATTTTTCTTATTAAAGCTACGAGCACAACAGCAACAACTACAACAACGACTACTGCAACAACGACGACATCGTCTACTTCATCCACTTCTTCAACATCGTCTACATCAAGTACCTCTTCCTCATCATCAACCTCTTCTACTTCATCGACTTCCTCAACATCGTCGACATCGACCACTTCTTCCACTTCGTCTACCTCTTCAACTTCATCCACGTCATCGACATCCTCAACCAGCTCAACGTCATCAACTTCGTCCACATCATCCACATCATCAACTAGCTCAACGTCATCATCAACATCATCAACATCCTCCACCAGTTCAACATCATCAACTTCGTCTACATCATCTACATCATCTACATCATCAACTAGTTCAACATCATCGTCAAGTTCGACTTCATCATCCACATCATCGACGTCGTCCACGTCAGCCACAACAAGTACGTCAAGTACATCAAGCACATCAAGCACAACAACAACATCAGCAACTACCACAAGCACTAGCACAACTACAACAACGACCACCGGATGTACCAGCTGTAAGTCTTTTGCGCTGTTGTGTCTGTATCTACTGATCACCTTTACGAATTCGTAGGTTCTAATTATTGTTGGAATGCAACAGGTGTAACAGTTACCGATACTTATACTAGTACCAATAAAGAGCCCACTAGTATAATCATAGATTCCTCTGACGGAATGTATCTTTCCGATCATAAGCTTGGATATGTTGATCGATGTTCGACAAATTGTGTAGGTAGAAATGGAACAACGGCTGAAACGGATCATATTGATTACATTACGTTTGACAAAAATGGATTTATGTACACGAACGACCACAACAGCTACCGAGTTCGACGTTTTCCACCAGGCGCTTCAACTGGTAGCATTATTGCTGGATCTGGATCGTCTGTTACTGGTAGTCTCTCCTATCCTGTAGGAGTTGCGGTGGATAATAATCTAAATCTTTATATTGGCGACCAAAAGGCTGCCAGTGTGTACATGTTGGCTCCCAGTGGAACAAGTTTGTTTAATGTTATCAACACTGGTAGTACCTTGAGTAAGATGTCGGCGCTTTTACTTCCGCATGGTTCGTCAAGTGAAATTTACATGAGTGACGAAGGTGGTGCGAAAGTGTTTCTGTGGCCATTCAGTTCCTCAACTCCCCGAGTAATATATACTAACGTTATCACTGGTAATGGAAACCTCAATAATCCAAGAGGACTGAAACTCGATCCTCTAGGTAATTTATATGTTGCAGATCAGAAGAATAATCGAATCGTCATGTACTGCGTCAATTCTACGAATGGCATTGTAGTTATGGGCACTAGCGAGAATCCTGTCGATCTTGCATTTGATTCCAGCATGAATCTGTATACATACTTAAGTAATGGCAAAGTGATGAAACATAAATTATTGTAGGTTGACTTTATCCTCTATTTTTAATGAATATTAACTATGATTGACATTTGAAGTTTTGTAATTTAAATACTTTTCTTTCTCTTCCTATATTTAATCGAAACAAATAAAAAAAGAAAACTCGCAAATCATACGAATAGATTGCACTCCTCCTTTATTCATTTCGGTTCATTAATCTGGTTACGCTAAAACACTGAAAGAAAAATTTTCAGTTGTATTTCGAACGATGCTATTTACAGAAATTTCACTAAAAAGTTCTTGACGCGAATATCAACAATCGTAAATGAATATAATACATGAAATGAACGTATTTCGATTCGTATAAAACTAAATGCGCCGCATGTTTTAATAATCATTGGTCTTATAATAATATGTACCGTTCGTTTGTTATGACAGATGGATAAACGACTGTGGTATAGTTCTAGCTTCGATTATCGTCAGTTTATTAACGATAGATCGTCTGAGGATAACATGGCACAAGAATGAATTCTATGGCCATAGCCATGTCTTATGATCATCTTGAATTGCAACCGAAAATCCGAGTAAATACGAAGATGTAGTAATTAACGATATGAACATTATCTATGCTATTCTTTTTCTTCTCTGACGTATTAATTATTTATTACACACCTACGAACAATAGTCTCTCACATACGCACGCACATAGTGTACTCTCGAATAAAAGTCAAGAAAGTATATTAAATCGTTGAACTCTATGGTTAGAAGGCTCACTAACATACATATTACCATACTGATCGAATACTAAAGCTTCAGGCGATTTGAATCGATAGTATTCGCATTCAACATCAATATTTCCATCAATAACGACAGTTCCTTCTGTTGCTCCCTTGACCCAACGCATTATTCGATGATTGGCACGATCTGCCACGTAAACTGTTCCGAATGAATCGACGAACACTCCTTTTGGGTAGCTTAATTGCGTCATACTATTGCCGTTACCGTGACCACCAGCAACAATGATACCTTCTTTGGCGCCTTTTATCCATTTCATCACACGATGATTCTCAGTGTCGGACACGTAGACAGAATAGTCTTGATCGACAAAGACATGGGTAGGATCTTCAAGTTGATTGAGACCTTTGCCTTTACCATATCCGCCTGCTACCAGTGTTCCGTTTGTTTCTCCGAATCGATAACGGCGAACTTCGTCTTTCCACGGATGAACAACATAGAGAGATCGTTGATCATCTAATGCGATGCCAGCACAAGAAATATTTCCTAGAATAATTTCGCCGGCTGTGCCGTTTTCATAAGGCCAGCGCACAATCCTCTTATTCAGCTGATCACATATTATCAAACTTTTTTGATCGATAATAACCTGCTGCGGATAGTATAGCTCATTATTTTCCGAACCTGGATAATCACCACCAGCAACAATTTGCATTTTATACTTGTTAGGAACATCTAATCTCCATTGTTCGACGCGATGATATACCTCCTTAGTTACCAATATAGTGTCACCCTCTTGGCTTACACAAAGGCCGAAAGGCTCAGTGGGATCATAAGTTCTTACGCCATGGTCAGTTACCTTGGTTAATTCGGTACCCCGCTGTGCCCATCTACTAGTTTTTGTAATATTTGGTTTGGCAGCTGAACATGAAAAATGGAATCCTGATGACGCCGTAGTCTCTTGAAGTTTATTCAACTGCCTGACAAGCGAGAATCTCTGTAGCATAGGACCATCAATGTCTGAAGCATATAGATCTCCACGACGATCAAATACTATAAACCGACGGGTAGTATCATGTTTTCCAGGTAGTGGGCAGCCTTGTGTGACAATGGCGATGCCTTGTGTTGCGTGTTTAAGCCAACGCATTACTCGACCGTATATCGGATCTACCGCATACACGGTGCCTAATGAATCAACGAACATTCCATGTGAATGCACGGATCCTATTGAAATGCTCTGTGGATTATGACCCTCACCAATAAGTATTCCTTCTTCCGCATCTTTGGCCCACTTTACCACACGCCAATATTCCACATGATTCCATCCGAACTACAAATACGGAAAGTAAGAATGTGCAAAATATCGTATTTCGAGTAAAATTTACCGTAACTCTTGCGTCTAACACATAAACTGAATAATCTTGGTCGACGAAAATAGAGAGAGGAGTGCTGAGTTGATTGAGACCACCTCCTATGCTATTGCCACCTGCCACCACGGTTACATTTTCGCCGACACGATAGCGTCTCACTTCTCCTCCCCACATATGTGTCACATAAAGCGAGCCTTGGTCATCTATTGCCAATTTCCAACATAGAATGTCATCAATAAACAGTTCGCCCTTTTCACCGTTTCGGTTAGGCCAAAACATAACTCGTCGGTTTCCGTAATCGCATATAAACATGCTATTTTCGTCTACAATTACATCTCTGGGATCATTCAATTGATGTAAGCCATTTCCTGGTCCATGGCCACCAATCACGACTCGACTTACTGTTGCTCCTGCCTTCCATTCTAATATACGATGATTCTTAGAGTCAGCACCAAATAATGTCTGATCTTTATCCATATAGAAATTTCTAATGTTAAGAGATTGACCTTTTGTTGCGTTTCTTTCAGGACCATGTAAAATAATCGTATTACGATACTCCCAATGGGCATTCATTGGAGGAACTTCAAAATAGAGAAAAAATTTAATCACGTCGGTTTTTTCATAATAACGCCTACCTATGTGATTACTAAAAACTATTCCTTGGTAGGCACCTCTGATCCATTTCATCATACGCCTATTATTCCAATCGGATACATAGATTGACTGTTCTGTATCAACAAAGAGGTGGCCAGGAAAATTGAATTGGTTTAGGCCATCGCCTTTTCCGTTGCCGCCAGCAACAATCCTTCCTCTCGCGTAATTATTGTCTCTAGAAAATCGTCGAATCTCATTCTTCTCTATAACACTCACGTAGAGATATTCCTGTCGATCTTGAGCTATGCCAAAACAGCTGATATTATGGATTACTATTATACCGCTTGTAGTACCTCGTTTGCGACACCATTTGATGATTCGTCTATTGCCGGCATCACAAATGATAAAACTATTCGTTCTCTTGTCGATCAGAACATCTGTTGGCATACTGAATTGATTCAATGCATTTCCTCTTCCATGGCCACCCGCTACTATTTGACCCGTTTTCCCATTTGTCTTCCACAATACAATACTGTCTTGGAACTGATCAGCAATGTATACCGTTTTATCTGTATCTACGAAGATGCCCAATGGATAGTTGATTTGCTCCCTCTCTACATCAGCCATAGATCGTTTTACTTCTACTTCTGTATGAGAAACGTTCTGCAATGGTACATTGGAAGAAAGACTACAGTTACCCGCTTAAATGTCAACCAAAAATATAGTTTATCAGATCGAAATTATAGTATCTACCTGTTTCGTTCGAAAACATCACTTTCAATGGCATTTTAGCCAGGATTTCGGCTAACCTTGTCAGAGTTAGATTAATCTGATGATAGTTTTCAGTCGATATATTCCAGTCAAGCCATTCTATTGCATGTAACTTGGCCATTCCAATGGACACACTCTTCAGCGGTTCAAGAACAAGCTCGAAATCCATCATGTTAACTAATGCATCTTGTAGTGCTTTTGATGAACTGAATACATGAACTAGATGAACTTCAACACCTTTAATCTGGCTTGTTAACGAAGCCACTAATTTCTGTTGTTCCCGTTGTTCGTTCAGGGTCGATACAGTTGTTTGTAGTTGAGCATTTGTAGCATTCAATTGCACTTTAGCGGTCCCTAATTTTGCTTGTTTATTCACAAATTTCTCTTGCTGAATTTGAAGACGTTGATAGGCATGAGCGAGATTGTCTTCGGTGATTGTGCGTGTTCTCTTTGCCCGACTGATGCCAGTCCGATTAATTACACGACATATTGGTTTAGCGAGTATTCCTAATATTCTCAGAACAAAACCCCAAACTCCTTTGCGTTTTCGTATGTAACACACTAGTGCTCGTTTCACTTCCTCATGCGCTTCTCGCATTGAAATGATAGCCCGACTCAATGAACTCTCGCACTCCTGTACAGTCTTTTGAACAATCGCAACTTGATCTCGAGCATGCTGCACGTCTTTATGCACTTGACTAACTGCGTGTTCATTTTGACGAACTTGTTCTTCTTGATCAGAAATAGCAGAAACAAGCTGTATAATATATTGATCGACTGTATAACGAATCCTTTCCATAGCTTCTGTTGTGTTCTGTAACTTGTTCTGAATATTTTTAGCGGAACATAATAGTGAATCGGTCAATGTTTGCACGGCTGTCTCATCTATATCAATATGAGTTGTTAATAGCTTTTGCACAATTTCTCTGTTTAAGATTGTGTACGCTGTATAGTATGGAGGAATAATGGTTTCGACGATCTGTTGTTTGATGTAAGATGATGTTATCAGCGTGTGATCAGTCGCTCCATGGTGGAATACGACATTGCATAGAAGTATGAAAACATACAAATGAATTCGCATCTTTATACTATTGAAAAATATAAAGTAGTGCTATTCACCTTGTGTTCTTCCTCTTTTATTTGTTTCGCAAAGGAGCACTAAGGTCTCGCATTACATTATCGAGGATCATGTTTCTAACTGTCGCTGTGCTTTTACTCGGAGATAAAAACTACCGATGAGATATACGTATATACAACAGAAAAGAAAAGTTCATAGTAGATTAGATTGTTTTCGTTTAATACTTCGTGAATAAGTCAAAAATGAGTTTGAGTTATTGTTTTATGCAAAGGAAATAACCAAAGACATATCAAAATAATCTGCATTCAATTTGACGAACAGATTATGAAAATGAGTCGACTTTCATACGTTTCTGATTAATTTCAGGCAATGTGCATTGAGTATTTAACTTCCCAAGCCATACGAATACTGAATGGTATTCGCCCCAACATATTGAACCGATTGTATTATCATTAAACCATTGCTTGATTTCTTTACTGATATTTTTGTCGAAATGAAACTTTAGTCTTGACAAATTGTCACAACGTTCAAGAAATATTTTCATCTGATCTAAATGCTTAATCCTTATTTCTAAACATTGCAGTCGATGTTGAAGTATCGAAAGAATACTTTCAAGCTGCGAACTTGTTACGAACTCCAAAAATTCTCCATAGATTTCCAAACGGCGAAGATTTTGTGCTTGTTCCAACCAAGAGCATACTAATTTCAAGGCATCTTCACTAACTGACTTTTTACAATGGTAAGCTAGCGACATACACACTACATTTGTAATATCAATAGCCATCAAGGTTAATGGCAATAATGATCCAGACCATGATGATTGAAAAACAAGTGTTAGATCAGTAATTTTGCCAAAACAATAGTTATTAAATATTTCCTAAGAATAATGATAAAAGATCGAAGCGAGTTCCAATCAAATCTACATACTTGTCTCTCAGCACTAACATCAATAGATTCGCCTAGTTCTACAGTTATTCTTTTAACATTATTGTGTTCTATTCTCATTGTTGTTGCCAGTGAAGGCAGTTGAGTGGATTCTAGATCGCAAATGAATTCACGTGTACATAATGGTACGGTGTAAATGTGAATGTTAGATAAGGATTTAGTTCGATATTCAGCTATAACGAACCATTGTTTCTGTTCGATCCAAAATGGTGTTTGAAATGTAGCATTGAACGTCTCGAGTTCGTCTAACGTTCTTTTATTAACGTAGATGGGCCGGAGAAAGAACTGAAATTTCTTTAATTGAGGTAGATTTATTTCCAGGAGATGCTGCCAGCGGTGACCATCAAGGTTCAAATTTGAGTAAGGACCAATAATAGTCAAGTGATTTAATGAAGGAACCATTGCCAGAACTAGTTCAAGTATCTCGATATCTTCCATAAACTCCGCAAGAGTTAGAGATCGTATTTGATGAAAAGCACTCCGTGGTTTGGATTCTCGTACACCATTGAAATCAAGTCGACCGAGATCTTCTTGGAGAACAACTGTATGTAAATGAGGACAAGACTGAAATATTTGATATAGATCGTTTATCTTGTTCCAGTGACGAACGACTAAATATCGAACCATGGAAACAGTAGCATTGTCAGTTCGTAATACGTTGAGATTCAACAATGAAAGATCTAATTGACGAAGTCCTGGTTGTGTGACGATTGATTTAAGTAGTTTTTCCGTGTCCTGGGCAATTCGTCTTCCTGGATGCCTGATACTCATGCTGAATGATGTAATGAAAGTCAGATTGACATATTTCAGCAAAGAATTCAATTGATTTTCATTGATATTCTCAAGAACTAAATTTTGTAGTCGATTGAACGATTGAAGATGGCGAACATTTGATAGAAATAAATCAATTTCATTTAATCCATCGTACTCGTTCGTAAGCGTCAATGAGATGACCTGTTGTGGATTCATCAGTCGACAGAGAAGACGAAAATGTTGTTGCGAAAGAGCTGTGAAGTTCACTGCGTATCGATTGTATAAGTTGACCATTGATCGAAAGGATCGCGACAGCACTCCCACTGAGAGTAGGACTGTTTGTGCATCGAGAAAATCAAAAATACGATGTAGTACCTCTACTGGCAATGAGTCCATAACTAGAAGAAAATAGAGTGTGCGAGAAACAGCTTATCTTTCATTCGATAAGTAAGGCAGTTATTTGATAAATAGTTGTCCAATGGAAAAGATGAGATGTCGCTGGCTCAACATCTCAATTTAGATTCTCGTCAACTACGAACTGATAATACAGAAACTCTAGTTCTTTATGAACATCATTGCAACCCGAAAGTGCAGTAAAGAAGATACACAACATTTTGTTTCTTCCTAACTAAGAGAGAAAATGGAGGTGTGAGTATAGTCTTACATTCGGGGTTGCTTGGGGAGGGTCAACCTTTCTTATGAACTTAATTCATTAGATGTTATTTTTGTGAAGAAGGAGTGTTTCCAGGCGCGAATTGTTGAGATAGGATTATGACTTGTTCAGAAACTTTCAAAAACTGTCGTAAATTATTGGAATTTTGTCACCACATTTTTCGAGAACCTATCGATAGTTCTGTATGCGTATACCATATATGTGAATCACAATCAAGAAAACGGATATTTCCTACGTAAATCTGCAAATAAATTCGTGTGATTCATGCGGAAGGAGCGAGAAAACGGCAACTTCATTGTTTCCAAATACAGCATGTCTTGATTCATTAGTTAAACATAATAAAAGTATAAAAAAGTAATAAACTATAGAAAATTCCAATATTCTCTAATTTCCTTGTGAATCAGTCCAATGTATTATGATCAAGGTATCGTTACCAATACAAATTACTAATCATCTGCAATGACGTAAAAGGAAGTCTCTGTATGACTCAATTTCTTATTGACAGATAATCATGTATATATAAATACATTGTGTTGGCAATTCTGATCATTAATATTGTCATGTCCTGATGTAAGAGAGTTTATTTAGAAATAAACATAAAAACTGAACTACACTGAGAAAACATCATGACTATATATATATAACACTAGAAAGGGGGGAAATACCCTGCGAGTATTCCAACAGCCTATGACGACATGGAATATTCCGTAAGGATATTTCCAACAAGAACAAGAGAGTCATGACATCTATAGGANAGTGTTCTGTTTTCGGAATCGTTTTATATAAAATCTTTAGATTGACCTGTTTTCCTTAATCTTCTCAAGATGTCAATGAAAAAATTGGTTTTAGTTTTCCAAAGTTAACACAGTTATCCGAAATCAACATTTATTCAGTAACTAGATTACAAATTAAGTTAAAACAATTAAGAAAAGAATCAGAATATGATTCACATTAATTACAATACATTGCGACGAATTGTCTTGCGACGAATTGTCTATGCGACAAATTGTCCGACGACGAATAGTCTGCGACGAATTGTCTGACGACGAATAGTCACGCGACGAATTGTCCTAGTGCCACTTTGTCACCCTCCGGGAAATAACGCTCTTTCGATTGCTTATCAAAAATTGAATTGATACCGATTATGTGCAAAGCGTGTGACTTCTGCATAATTGGGACGTAATAAGTCGAGTACAGTCCTCAATGGGCGTTTTAAAAACAACTCGGCTTGTGTTTGGCCAGTTGTCGCATGAGGAGTCGTGCGATAATTGAAAATGAAGTTCATCACAGCTTCTGTCACACTGCCTCCCTCATGAACAATCTTCGCGAATGCAGATTTCACGGTCTCAACATACCTTTCAGCTCGTCCGTTTGATTGGGCGTGTGCTGGTGCTGTACGGACATGATCGATACCATTACGAGAGCAAAAATCTTGAAATTCCGATGACGTAAATTGAGTACCGTTATCGGATAGAATCATTTGGCAAAGACTGAAACAAGCAAACAAAGATGACAAGGCATTGATCGTGATTTGTGACGTGATAGTGGTCATTGTAATCACTTCCACCCACTTGGAATGTGCATCGATAATAACCAGAAAATATAAACCCATAAATTTACCCATAAAATCGATATGTATACGTTGCCACGGATGATCAGGTGGCGACCATTGGTTCATTGGAACTTTGACCGTTTGTTTGAAGTTTTCCGTACAAGCTCGACAATTCCTGGCGACATGTTCAATATTACTATCGAGATTGGGCCACCAGAAATACCGTCGAGCTTCCGCTTTCATTCGAGCCATGCCAGAATGTTTTAAATGAAGGTGATTCAAAAGACGTGTTCGAAAACACAATGGAATAACGGTGCGCAGGCCCCACACAATGCTACCATATGAGGTAGATAATTAATATCGAATTTTGAAATATGATTGACATTCGGTCGGATGCTTCTCCGGCCAACCATCTTGAGTATAGTGGTATATTAACGAAAGCACATTGTCTTTGAGAGTAGCTTGACCGACCTGTTTCGCACGAATAGGTAAGTCCGCCTGGTATTCTTGTTGAATAGCAGCAACTACCTGCCCTTCACTAGCACTGGTAGTGTCAAATGTTAAGTCTGATCCAATGGGAAGTCTGGATAGGCCATCATCATGTCCAAATCGGGTAGTAGAACAATATTCAATATCGTAACTATATGCCATTAGACGGATTGCCCATCGTTGAAGTCGATTGGCTGATGTAGTCGGCATACCGCGCTTGGGACCAAATATAGTAATTAAAGGCTGATGATCAGTTACCAGAGTGAAACGACGTCCTCTCAAAAATTGATCGAATTTCTGTAAACCAAACATGGTTCCTAATGCTTCTTTCTCAATTTGTGCATATCCTGCCTCTGTTTTAGTAAGTGTTTGTGATGCCTATGCGATCGGTTTCTCGTTTCCATTAGCGAACCTGTGATCTATCACCGCGCCCAGTCCATAGCTCGATGCATCAGTAGCCAAAACCAATTTCTCTTTGAGATCGTAATGAGTCAAGGTTAATGATGATGATAATAATTTCTTTTTGATATCAACGAAAACCTTGCTACAATCTGCATTCCA